AAAGTCAGAGGCAGGTAGGTCTCTTAGATTGAGGCTGGCCTGGTCTACATAGCCAGTTTCAGGCCAGCCGGGCCTACAAAGAGACTTTTTTAAAAAAAAAAAAGAAAAAGAAAGAAAAATATTATAAAGCTATTTCTGTGAATATAGTTATTAGATTTAACTGATTTTTATAGTCTGGCTTTTCATAGTGTTGGTCAGCACATGTTTGCGTTGAAGATGGTTTCAGCTTCTCGGGTCTGTATTAGTTCTCATGGAACCGTAACAAGCTGTCAATGGCTCTGCCAGTCTGTATTGCTTTTCAGTGCATGTTCCTGCAATGTGTTTTTGTTTACAATACCAGAGATTGAACCTAGGGCTTCACATGCAAGACACATGTGCAGCCACTGAGTTTTACTCAGCCTTTAATTAATTAGTTAATTTAAAGACTAATTGCCAGGCTGGCTTGAACTCATTTGTAGTACAGGCAGGCCTTGAACTTGGAATTCTCCTTCGTCAGTCTCCCAGGAACCTGGGATTACAGGCTTGGCTCCCACAATGCTTTGATTAATTAAATTGATGTTTAAAATAGTTTTCCCTTGGAAAGGAGCACAGTGTAACTCAGTCCATGTGCATCCGCTGAGCACTGAACCAGGTATTGGGATGTGGCAGTGAGCGGGTCACAGTCCTTGCTCGGTAGCTCACAATTTGGTTAAGACAGACACTGATGTTTGAATAAAGTGTGCAGAGTAGGGCATACTGCAGCCAGCACAGAAGATACTACAGGAAAAGGTTACCGCTCCAGGCTTAGAAGAGAAGTGTGCTTTGTGAAAGAGATGTGAACAGGATGTAGAAAGACTGAAGTGCTTTGGATGTACACCTTATGAAACCATATCCAAAAATTAGAGCATCTACTTGTAAAAGCATCTCAGATGCTGTTAATCAGTTTTTTTCACAATGACAGAATGCCGAGCTCTTCCACTTTAAAAGAGACAAGGCTCCTGGCTGTGGTCTTGGGTTTCCGTTCATCCCTTAGCTCCGCTGCTTTAGGCCTGTTGGCAGGCCGCACATCATGGCAACAGGACACATGGTGGAGGAAACTGCTCCGCTCATGGAGGCCAAGAAGCGAAGAGAAAGAAGGGGCCAGGGTCCCAGTATCCCCTTCAGAGGCACACTCCAGTGACCTAACTTCTACCCACAAAGCCCTACTTCCTGGAGGTTCCACCACCTAGTTGCATCATAGGCTGGTGGCTGAGCCTTTGAGGTGTGTTCAAGATCTGTGCTATAGCAGGGTAGCACATGGTTTTGGTTCCGTGTGGCTGTGTTCAGTGATGTCTTAACATTTCAGACTGGTGATTGGACATGGTTGAAAGAGTTCTATCAAAGACTGATTGATCAGAAGTGGCAGCGGAAGAAAAAAAGCAAAGAGCACTGGTATCAGAAGGCCATTCTTTCTAAGTTCTTGTATTACAGGTACTTGACTGCTTGTTTATTTTTATCTTAAGAAAAATGGGATTTGGACCTAAAATTTAGTAGCAGCTTAAAGTGGGTAAAATTAGTGACTTAAGTTTTCTTCTGTGCTTTTGTTAACATTTTATTTTGTTTTGTTTGTAAAAGATCTATGCTTGGCTATAGAATGTTGTTCATGCATGTGGCTAGACTCCAGCAAAGCTACAGTGGTGAGGCTTTTTTCTCTTCATTTCTGATTCCTCCAGCATCAATGGTGATGGAGCTGCTCAGCCTGTGCCATCTGATGCAGAGCAGCAGGAGCCATCCAGTTCTGACCAGACTCCTGATTCTGAAGGAGCTGCATGGCCTGCTCCCTTTGAAATGCCTTCTTCAGTTTCTGAGGACCCCAGTGCTTCTAGTCAGGTTTGTTAGCACCTGAGTGTTGGTTCTGAACCCACTGTGTTTCTGCAATAACAGATAAATAAGGGAAGGAATATTCTATCAACTTCCTTGCACAATTAGAAAAAATGCTTTTCGTTTTCCACAATAGAATTAAGAGTTAATATGACTGGTCAGTTTTTTTTATTGAATAATTCAAAAAGATGTTAAAGTAGCTGTAAAGTATCAGTAAAACTTGTTTCTTTTTCCTCAAAGTTATGAGAGTACTATGTAATATTAATGATAGTAAAGTTTATTTTTAACTCTAGATATAAAGTATCAAATATTGAGTCCAGTAGGTGTGTTCATAATTTAGATTGTTAGACCTAAAATGAAGTTCCTGACTCTGGCTCCACATTAATGTATAAAGCTTTAGAAAGGAAGAGAGAAGAGATATTTTTTGTCTCCTTCTTATGTTCCTGGTTTCTTGTTAGTGATTTACTGTTGACCTTACTATGTTTACTTTAGAATGAAGTTACTCAATAGATGTTAAATCGTGGCATGTCTGTTTTCAGAAAAATGCATTGGTAAGCCCAGTGAAATGAATGCCAGGATTTTTATCTTGGTAAATTACATTTTTTCTTCCTGTTTTATGTGTACTGAACACGATTCATCCAGATTGGTTCAGTCTTTACACATTATGGGGTTATAGAGAATGAACACAGTTAACATGATTTTAGTTTTAGTAGGTTTCAGTTTTTTGTTGATGTTTTGAGACAGGGTCTCCCTGTAGCCCCAGCTAACCTGGAACTTGCTGTGTAGACCAGGCTGGCCTCAATCTCACAGAGATCCACTGAAATTTAATTCTTGTGCTACTACGCTTAATTGTAATAGGTTTTAAAATAGAGAAACTTTCACTTAAAACTATATAAGGAATCTGAATCCCCCCCCCCAAAGGGATTAAAGGATAAAGAAAAGGAAGGAGATACTTAATGTCAAGTCCCAGTGCTTCTCATCAAGGGGTGGGGGTGTATTCGTCTGTTTTATGCACTGTGTTTTATGTAATTGGTTATTTGTTGCCAAGGATTTTTTAAAGTTTATTAGTACTTAACCAAAAAACTACAGTATTCAGAAGTATTCACAGAATGTAAAAACATAATTTAAATTCAGATTTCACAATGGAGTAATAACCCCTTGTGGACTTCCATGTGGCCCACTGCCCTTTTAAGGACTTATTTTGCATTGAAAATGTGTTAAATGTTGGGAGGCTTGAGAGGATGTACATGGAATATATATCTGAACTCATTAAAACACCTTTTTCAGATTACCTTTCTTGTTCTCCTTTCTAAACACGTATGTAGGAAGACTGTACGCAGTTAGTGTCCTGCAGTTGTGTGCTCCTAAGCAGAGCTGGCCTGCCACTAGAATAATAGCCTACAGATTTTTTTTTTTGCAGTAACTGCAGGAAATATTTTTAGTCATTGATAGGTGGATACATTTTTAAAGCAGATTAGATTAGCATATATAAAAATATGAAATTTGTTGGTCTGGAGAGCTGGTGCAGCTGTTAAAGACTGAGGCTCACAACCAAAAATCTGAAATTTGTACGCTGAGTTCTACATCTAGAAAGACTTGAAAGGATAAAGCTGAGCAAGCACACCTCAGCATGTTCAGAAGAAAGGCTGTGGTGTACTGGGTGCAGGGCATGTGCTGATACATGCCTTGACTCTCAGCACTTGGGAGGCAGTGGCAGGTGGATCTCTGAGATTTAGGCGGTAGTGGCAGGTGGAGATGGGGAAGGAGGCCTGAATATAATCAAATTCATTGTATGAAATTCTTGAATCAATAACATTTCTCTTAAATTTAAAAAAAAAAAAAAAAAAAAAGGGATATGCAGCCTGTAAATGGGCCATTGAGAAGATACAACCACCATGTAGCCACCGCTCTGCATAGAATGACAGCAGCTTTCACCCTCAGTGAGCTCAAACTAAACATGTGATTTAGGGAAGGAGGACTATCAGATTAACTGGTGAATGATTCTATGACTTGATCTGTGCAAGGCAGTCTGTAATGTGTTCTAAAATCTTACATTTACTCTGTGGTCCATCATTGTCTTTCTAGAAAACAGTCCTTCAAAAATAACCTGTAATAGAACAAAATGATTTTCTGCAAATAAGGGATTGGCTAAATTCTGGTTCACACAAGAGACTAATGTGCAGGGCATGACAAGATGAGATAAGGCAGTAAGTTTTGGTGGGTAAGACATCTAAATAAGTGAAAATAATATACAATACCATGTGTAATACTACATTTGTTTTGGCTGGCCTGAAACTCATTGTATAACCTAGGTTAACCTCAAACTCTTAGAAATCCTCTTGCCTCAGAGGGCTGAGTGCTGAGATTCTAGACACGAGCTACTGTGGTGTCCATTATCTGTTTTCTATGATTCTGATATTTGAAGCAGTCTTTTACTAGATTAGAAAACACTTTAAAACATGTTGGAAAAGTATGTCTAAATATGCACAAAGGATTAAATACTTTACAAAGATAAAGGAGTTTTCATGGAATTTTATAATTCCACATTTAAAAGCTCTCCTCCCTCCTCCCTATAAAAGAAATCCTGTTTTTCTAAACTGGGCACAGTTTGCCCCAGAGTTCCAGCTACTCCATAAACAAGAAAGGAGGAAGACTGAAGTCCAGAGAACTTGAAGCTAGCCTAGGCAGCATGGTTAAGATCCTGTCCCTCCTGTAAAGTGTACAAGGAATATACATGTTAATTTTCTAATAAAAAATTAGCTATTAAGCTGGGAACACTGGTACATAATTGTGTAGACTATTTTTAAACCATCTAAATATCAACATTTAGAGATGTATTTACGTTTACACGCTGGCATCATGCTGTCTTTCCTAAACTAAAACTGCTAGAGTCAGGCCTTGGTTACGCAATAGCAGAGATCTGGCGAATGGCCTTTGAGCCAAACCTTTTTTTGAGATCATGTGACACTGAGCCTAGACTCCCCCCTTGCAACAACTACCTGGCAAATACAATTTGAGAAATGGTCCTTAAGCTATTTGTTTATCTGTATAAACAGATGAAAAAGAGTTTGAAGTTGTCTTAGGATTGCTGAGTGAGGAACAGAGCAGCAGGGTCATGTCCCCCTCCCCTCAGCCTGTGGGCACACACACTTCATAGGTGGGAACATGAGGAATAAGCCTGTTTGAAATCAGCACATGTGAACATCTCAAGACCAAAGATAGAGAGCTTTGGTATTAAAAGTGTAGTGTTTCCTAGTAGCAGCTGCCTAATGGCTGCAGAATTAGTACTGAGTTTACTCAACATCCAGATGTGTTCCAAAATATATCTAGACTGTACTAAAAATAACAGTTCTGAGTTAAATAAATAGGAAAATGTTGAGTTAGAAGTGATACAGATTTTCTACTGAAAAACCTCTCTGAGTTTGATTGTTGGTTGTGGGTTTTGTTCTTGTTTTTGAGGCCAGTGGTGGGGAAATGGTGTTCATTAAACACCGTCATTTGTCATGGAATGAGGACTGGCCAGCAGCAGCTTCTCACCCTGACTCTGGGAAGTCTCCCCCGGGTTCTCAGGGTCTAGCCCCTACAAAGCTCACTCTGGGACGTGCTCAGCTGCAGACTGCTGGAGTGAAGAGTCTTGGAAGCTGCAGCTGTGGTGCTGGGTCTTCAGTTCAGTAGAGGGATGCTGGGCTGGCAGCATGCTAATCAGATTTGCCAAAAACCAAGAAACAAAAGCTGAACCATTTGAAAGCGCTTTGATCCATCTCATTCGAGTGAGATCTGAGTATGAGTAGCTCCTCACAGCAACTGAGGTGATTCAGAGCTTAGCATGCCATCATGTGAGTGCTTTGAATTTGCTAGCCTATTCACAAAGGCGCGTTTGAGGTGTGTGTTCTGGTGTTTAGGTGATACTCTTTAAACAGGCCAAGTCTAAAGAATGTTGGCAGCAGAATCACTCCTTATCTTGCGCTTTCCACAGGGCAGTGAGCCTCTTGAGCCCTCATGCCTAGTGGGGCATGTGGCCTCAGCACCCAAAGAGCAAAACCTGACCACTTTATTCAATGACGGGGAGAACAGTCAGGTATGCTTTCCATGTGCCGAATCAAGACACCCAGTTCCTCGGTCCACGTCATTTAAAAACTCGTCTCAGCTATAACTGACAGGAAAACTCGCTTGATCTTTGTAAACATTTCTCTCATCTTTAGCTCTTGAGACTGGAGTCTTATCTCTTCTGCCTTTTCTTTTTTCTGGTCTTTCTTTGGATCATGGGGGGAAATTGTAGCTCTCCTGGTGTTAAAATCTTTCCCATTTCTAATCAAAGGGCCTTAAAAATGATTTTGTTCGGAATATTCTGTGGACTTTTGAAGATATCCATATGTTGGTTGGCTCTAACATGCCTATATTTGGTGGAGGCAGATACCCAGCAGTCAGCCTGCGTCTCAGGTAAGACACTGTCATTCCCCTGGTGCTTTATTTAAGCAAGCTTCCTTCAAACCTGTGTCCATTTGCTTCCCTGTGCATTTGGGCTGACTCCTCTTTTCTCCTCCCTTCTCCTGCCAGTGAAAATGGCTACAGTCAGAATAGAACTGGCAGCTGATGCTGAAAGCTCAGTAACCTAGTGTTCATTCTCACCCTGATTGATTAGCCTGAGCCAGAGTTTGTTGGACTGGCCTAGTCTTATGCTTGAGTCTGGAACTAGTCTGTTCAGTTGCTTGAGGCGATTTATCAACTTCCCCGTTATGTTAATTCCTGTTAATTATGAACATTTTTCTTGTTTCTTGACAAGCTCTCCCTTAGTCCCAGCCCACCTGGAAGTCACTATGTGATCCAGGCTGGCCTCACATTCACAGAGATCCTCCTGCCTCTGCCTCCTGAGCGCTGGGATCAAAGGATGTGCCACCATGCCAGGTGTGAACATTTTTCTTAATGCTCTCTGGGTGTTTATTCACATCAGTCACTGAGGATTCTGACTCAGACATTGTCGTGTGGTTGGTAGTGTCTCCTCATGATGTGTGAGGAACATACACTGGGCTCACAGTTGTGTCTGGATATTGCCTTCTGTTCCTGTAGACACCTTAGCAGTGCCATTTAGCAAGTCAAAGCTTTTGGGAGGGTTTAGACATAGCACAACCACAAAGCTACATGTGTCTGGCTCATCAGATCAGAAAACATATATAGCATTTTCCATCTAGGGAGAATTCAATAGAAAAATACATCTAAGGTAGCTCATTATGGAACATTTTAATTAAACACAATAACACTAAAAATGTGTGTTTTCAGGGATAATAACAAACCAATAAATGTGCTAACTGGGATCGACTATTGGTTGGATAACTTGATATGCAATGTTCCAGAGCTCGTGATGTGTTTTCATGTAAATGGAATTGTGCAGGTAAGATATATGGTGACTTTTCTAATCTGTCTAGGGCAGATTGGTGCAGAAAGAGCACTTAATCACAGTTTCTAAGGCTCTAAAATTATGTTTTTGGCAGGGAGGGAGATGTGAATAAACTGAGATTTGAGTAGTTTCACATTCTAGTTGGTAAGAGCAGAATTTTAGGTATGTTGGAGGTATAATTCTACAAGTAACTTGTGGATTTGTGGAAAGATCAAAAATTCATTTAAGTCAGGCAAGGCATGTAGTGCACTTGGGAGGCAGAACCAGGCAGATCTCTATGAGATTGAGGCCAGACTGGTCTATAGAGTGAGTTCCAGACCAGCTGTGGCTAAAAGGGAGACCCTGTCGCAAAAACTAAGACAATAGGGTTGAGAGCACAGAACTGTAATGTTAATTAACCTAATGTCAATGGCAAGCACCCATGAGGAGTAACTCAAAGGGTATATAGAGTGGACACATTTCCTTGTTAGGCAGACATCTACTCAGTCTGCACAAATTGCATAAGGACAGGAGAGATGGCTCAGTAGTTAAAAGCGCATTGGCTGCTCTTGCAGAGGACCTGGGGGTGGGTTCACATGGCAGCTCACTGTGATCTGTAACTCCAGTTGGAAGGGATCCAATGCCGCCTTCCAGTCTCCACATACCAGGCACATGTGGTGCACATGGCAGGTAAAATAATCATACATATTAAAAAACAAAACTTGGGGCTGGAGAGGTGGCTCAGCAGTTAAGAACACTATGACTGTTCTTATAGAAGACCCAGGTTTGAATCCCAGCATGCTCATGGCAGCTAACAACTGTAACTCCAGTTCCAGGGAATCTGACAGCCTCTTCTGTCCTCCGCGAGCATTGCATGACATGGGTGCACTTAACCTACATGCAGGCAATACATGCATACACATAAAATAAAAATAATAAATTAAAAAAAAAAATCTAGCACTTGGGAGGCAGAGGCAGGCGGATCTCTGTGAGCTCAGGGCCAGCCTGGTCTGTATATCTACATAGTGAGTTCCAGGACAGCTGGGACTACAGGGAGACCCTGTCTCAAAAAGACCAAAAAAACCCAATTTTGAACCATTTTCTCCCATTAGAAGTAATGGAAACAGTAAGTTTGGTCGCTCCTCAGGTGTGATCTAAGGGGGAGAAATTGTCCAGGGGAGCAGTGGGAGACGGGGGATGAGACGTGCAGTGCATATGTGGGCTGCAGAGCCACAGCAGAGAGATGGCTCTGATTCTGTCTGAAGGAAAGACCATGGGGGGAGTGGTTTATCATCTGGGTCTTGAATGACTGGAGACTTCAGGAATGTTAGACTGGATTTTAAGACTTGTATAAGTAAACAAAGGAACTGACAGATTTAGTTGGGGAACTCAAGATCCAGGTAGTTGGGAACTGATGGCCAGATAATGGAGAATGCTAAGTACTGAGCTAAGGAGTGGGGCCTTGGTTCATTTGTGATCTGGAGTCAGTGAAGGCTCTGCCGCTGGGAGGTGAAATCTGTTGTACTGATTACTTGCTTTGGAAGTGGCATATAAAACAGGCAGGAAGACTTAGAAACGAGAAACCTGGGCAGACATGGCAGCATGTTTGTAATGGTGTATAATATACATGCTGCAGGGTAAGCATTAAGACTTAAGGGTTGTAAGCTAGCATTTGGTGTTTGCTGGTTTTGTTCCAAACACTTTCCTAAGTGAATTTTTCTTAGCCTTATTGATCTTATCCTACCTCATGTCCTGTTAGCCCCATTTGGTGGGAAGGAAAACTGAGAATCAGGAGCTTCAGTGAGTTGCTCAGGGTTGAGTTGCTAATAAGTGGTGGAGCCAGTGTCTGAACCTTCATCTGGTGGAGGCTGTGCTGTAGTCATCGGCTCCAACTCTGGCGTTTTAACCAGGGCCATACATCAGACTCACCAAGGTTCCTTAGCTGTATGTACTTGGGCGCTAGAGTTTTAGGACCAGTGGACCAGCCTCCTTTTTCTTTTAGGAAGTCTTGTACGTGATTTTAATTTGCAGCCTTGGCTTGGAAACCAGTTAGGCATGATCGTAAGTGACAGCTTTCACTGAGACGTTTATGGCAGGCAGAGGGGACAGGGTAAAGGTATTGCCGAGGAGGAGGGAGGAAGAGTGGAAGGAATCCCAGCTCTAGGGTAACAGAACCATTCACTGTGATAGGGACCCTGAACTGGTCAGGCAGGGAAGATGATAGATTTTTTTGTCACATGTTTAGATTGAAGAAATCATAAAAGTGTCTAATCACTGTTCCAAAGGTACAGCTGCTAGAGAAGATGGGGCTAGAGAAAAGGTGGTAGCTTGTTCTGAGGAGCTGTTATATATTTCTTCACCAAGAAATCTGTTCAAGTCACACATCAAAACTTCCCCATACAAGTGAAGAAGGAGAGAGGGTCACACAATATACAGTGCTGGTGAGGGCAGTAGATTAGAAGGATGAGAAGCAGGTTTAGCTGGCTGTGCGTGATGTTAGGCTCCAGTTGCTTTAGAATTTCTAGTTCTCTGTGTGTAACAGAAAGTGCAATAAGAGGTGTTTAGGGCATAGAACAGACCTGGGGAGTATGGAGTCACTTTAAAGATGGTCTGGGCTTCAGTGCAGTAGGGAGCATTTGCCTGACATATGAGGACCTGAGCATGATTCCCAGCACCACATGAAGGCCCACAGATCTGTGCAGCAGCGCCCTGCCCTGTCCTGATCTTGCCAGTTCCACCCATTGTGCTTCATCCTGCGAAGGAAAAGTCAGTAGCTCCAGGAACCAGAGGTGTCTCCCAAGGAGACATCTGAAGCGATGCTCTTGCCTCGTCTTGTACCTGGGGAAAGACATCTTAGGGAAGCTAGCTGGGTAGAGTCCTTCATATCCCATTTTCCCAGTTGAAAACGTTAGATGGAGAAGAAAGTGCTCCTCTTTGGTGCTGTGGGAAACAGAAGAGGGTTGGACCTTGTCCTGAGACTGTCTAGAAGTCACTGGCCACTCTCCTTGAGAATGACGCCAGTGAACCATCTGGGGGGTGGGGGGCGTGGGGATGATCAGCTCCCTTTGCAATTTGGAATGAGAAAGGATTGAAAAACAGTTTCCAACTCCTTCATGCTGCATGGGTCTCCCAGGGTTTATGGGTTAGGGTGTCTTTTAATAAGTAGGTCCAACTGTGGCTCAGGGCTTCTCTTCCAACTACTTCCCTTTGTGCTTTACAGAAATACGAAATGATAAAGACGGAAGAAATTCCCAATTTAGAGAACTCGAATTTTTCTACTAAAGTCATAAAAGACATCGCACAAAATATTTTGTCATTTCTGAAATCTAATTGCACTAAAGAAGGTCATACCTACTGGCTCTTTAAAGGTACGCTGGTGCTTGGATGGGCAGAGCGCGCGGTGAGGCTGTAGAGTGAGGGTGTCTGTTTCCCTCTACAGCAAGCGGCAGTGACATAGTGAAGCTCTATGATCTCACCACTCTCTGTGAAGAAACTGAGGACAAATACCAGAACCCGTTCACGATGCCAGTGGCCGTCCTCTTGTACAAGTGAGTGCTTTCAGAGTTGAAAAGTCATGTACAGCGTGGCGGTACATGCCTGTAATTCCAGCACTTGGAAAAGTAAGGGAGAAGGACCACAAGTTTAAGACCACCTGGGCTACATAGCAAGACTAGTACATTATAGACACGTGATGCCAGATATTACTCAGTTTTTTTGTGAAAGAACAGTTTGAACTTTTGGGTGTGGGTGGGTAAAGTACAGTATTTTAATGCTTCTTTTTATCTGTTTGAAAGATGCACACATGCCTAGGTTTGCAGCAAATGGTGAATGGGGCACTAAAGCTCATCTGGCTATTTCTTCCAGGGTTGCTTGTAACATGATGATGAAGAAGAATCAAAATAGGAAACATTATGGGACTATTAGAACATTGCTGCTTAATTGTGTTAAGTTGCTGGACAAAAGCAGACATCCTCAAGTAAGATTAACTTGTATATGTTTTCAAACAGCTCTGCAATTCTGGCAGAGAAGCCTAATCAGATCCCCTCTGCAGTATGGTATCCCTAAATGCCCTGTGGCTGAGCTCTTAAGATGTGCTTAATCTGAATTGAGGCATTTGTATAAAATACACACTGAATTTTGAAGAGAGAAAGTATATACATTATATCTTGACTATTTTGTAGCTATGAGATTCACTATATTAGAATGCTGACTGTACTTCAGATTTTTGGCATAGCTACCAAAAAATTAAAAATTTCATGTGGCTCATGTTACTATTTCTCTGGTATAGCTCTTTTCAATAAATTAGGATTTGTGTAATTTTAGTATAGTTTTGTGGCTTTTTGTTTTGTTTTGCTTTATTGCTATTGGCTCAGAAATGTGTGGTGTCTTTTAAAAGAACTACAGAAAGGAGGTGCCACTGTTCTAGTTGTGAGGCTCATGCTCCATACTTTAGAGCATGTGAGCACACCTCTTGGATTCTCCCCATGGCTTTCACAGCTCTGGCTCTTGGTTGTCTGAGTTTTACAACCCCATCAGTATAAGGGTAATTATATACTAGATAAAGCAGAAAAGTATACAGAATATGTACTTGTTCCTATAAAAATCTGAAGTTTGGGGGCTGGAGGGATGGCTCAGTGGTTAAGAGCACTTGGTGTTCTTGCAGAGGACCTGGGTTCAGTTCCCAGCACCCACATGGCAACTGACAACTCTACATAACTCCAGTTCTAGGGCCCTCTTCTGACCTCTGTGGGCATTGCATGACATGGGTGCACGTACATACAGGCAATACACCATACACAAAATAAAAATAAAAGATTTCTTTTTAAATCTGAAGTTTCATTCTAGCCACATGTAATTTGGATACGAAATTATCCTGGAGGGATGACGCTCAGTGGCAGAGTGCTCGTCTAGCCTGTGCAAGACCCTGGGTTTGACCCCAGCACCAGGGCTGGGAGAAAATGGGGCTAGTCCTGGAGACCAAACTCAGAAAAATGTTTTATTCGAAGAAAAATGGCTAAATAATTTCTGATTTAAATATCTTTATTGCTAACTGAGGTGGTGTTTCATGATGTTGAGCTGTTTATGGAAGTTACAAATTGGTGCTAAGACTATTATGCATCTGCGACTGAGAATTAATAAATTGAGCTGGGTGTGGTGGCACAGTCCTTTAATCACAGCACTTGGGAGGCAGAGGCCGGCTTGGGGTGTGGTCTATATATTATAGCAAGTTCCAGGTCAGCTAGTGAGACACTGTCTTAAAAAAAACAAAGAAAGAAGAATAAATTACAGAGTGGGATAAACTTAGAGCATATAAATGGTATTTTAAGGGTGATTAGGGTAGGATCCCCCCCCCCCCGGATATATTGAGGGTTTTTTCCCCTTATAGATAGTAAATATTAGTTGCTTATGAAAGACAAAAAAAATTTCAAAGAGAAACTGGTTTTTCACTTGGGATTGGGTGGAGTTTGTGAATATTTTACTTACGACACTTCACCTGTAAAGCTTGTCTCCAGTGAAATACGGTGGCCACTTCTGTTCAGAAGGAGAGCTCATGGGTGCAGTAATTTCCAGAAACAAGGTCATCAGTCTGGGATTTCACTGTGCACACCCAGGATGTTTGTAGCTTTGAATTGGCACTGTTTGTGTGGTGAAAACAGCCTGTTTCTGGACCTGCTCCAGAAGCTTGTCACCATGGTGATGAAATCATCTCTTTAGATAGGGAGGCAGGCAATGATCATTTACACGGACTTCTTTTCTTTTTGTAAGATTATTGCTTCAGCCAATTACATGCTTTCAGAGCTTTTCCAATTGGATGAGCCTAAAAAAGAAGGAGGTTCAGACTCTCCCTTAAATGAGAATTCTGACGAGAGCTACAGTGAGGAGGAAGAGGAGATGCCCGACAGCGATGAAAACGGCTCCTACAGCACCAGCTCTGATCCGTCGGACGACAACAAAGCGGTGGCTATAATTAAGTCTGTTGGAGAATTGTCGGTGCCTGAAAAATACAAATCTATCCACCAAATCAGAGTAAGCGTGTGTTCACCTGTGGTCAGTTTATCAGTGGGACACGTAATTGAATGTAGTTAGCCTCTCCAAACATGGCGTTGACTGAGTCTTTTGTGGCTTGAGGTCTAATAATTATTGGCTTTCCTAATTCTAGAATTGGCTTTAACAACCCCACAGTGGTGTAAACTTCCTGGGACAAATGACTCATGTTACGCAAGGCTGGGGCAGGCAGATGTCTGTGGGACATTTTCCCGTTTGGTGACCAGTGTATAGCCATTGTTGTCTCCTCACCAGGATGCTTCTGTCCAGCTTTTGAGTTGCTGGGTTATTAATGTAGGTTCTAATCAGAGTAGAGTTCCTCATGTGGAGAAAGCTGGTTCATTATCCATGTGTTGTGTTCTTAAGATAGTACTTTTTCTGTGACCCTGTCCACACCTGCCCTGTGGCCAGGTGGACCTCAGCAATGTCATCCTCTTTTGGTCCCTCTCGCCATGGGTTACATTGGTCTTTTGACAACAGTGGTCTTTGCCATATACTGACTCCATGTATTTAGGTATAGATAGGTCAGCCCATAAGAGTTCTGGTATTCCCTGAACTGAAATATAATCACATTTACAGATAACCTCTTAATTTAAGCTCAGAGTTCAACTTGAGATGAAACTGTATGTCCAAGTAAGGTTTTGAGGGCTGTCCTGGCATCGTAAACCGCTGTCTTGATTTCTGACCTGCTTTTCTCACTTCCCCTTTCTTTACCATAAAGAAGAGCATCGGCATCGTCTGAGGTCCTGTAGTTTCTGCTTGCAACACGCTTTTTCCTAGATCTTCTTCATGACCGCCTTTTCCCAGGCCTTATGTCTTGTCTGATGTGTGCCTCCTCCCTGACCACTCTGGTCAAACATAGTGTTTAACCTCTCTCTGCCTGTCCATATGATGTTCTCGGTCTTCTCCATGTTTCCCTTCTTACCAGACTGTAAGTTTCTTGCAGGTGGATAGCTCTACCTCCCATGTCTATGACATGTAATGTGTATTTAGGAAATAGCTGACTGAACGGCTGTAAGATAAAGTCACTAACTGTCCATCTAAATTTTAATTTTCAGCTTGAACTCCACATTTTTGAGTTAGATCATTAATTACTACAGTTACATGTACTTGAGAAACTACATTGTAATACAGGGCCCTGGAACTCATGGGGGAATTAGATGATCGTTAAAGATGATGCAGAATGTTAGCATCGCTTTCTTTTCACAGAGAGCATGCTACCAGAGTCCATCTGAGGCGCACTCTGACAGTTCAGTCATAGCACTCAATGGAAACATGTCTTAGCTTCGCCTGGTCTGTGTTGGGTGACATAATGGGTACTGTGAGCTCTAGAGTCCCTGCTTCTCTGTTTACTCACCTTATCCTCCAGTGAATTCCTCAGCCCACTAGGTGGGTTTCTCTGTGAAAGCTAGTAATGCCAGCCTTCCAGGATTCAGCAAAATGAAACACCCTTGCATATAATGCTACATAGTAGTTGGAGGCTGTTAGCTGGTTTTGTTTGTTAATTAAGCAGATAAATTGTACAATAGGACCTCAGTGATGTGGTACTTGTTAACCTATTGCTAAATTGCTGATTTTATTAACTGTGCTACTATCAGTACTAATTAGGAATTAGGCTGACCTCTTTGTTCAGTATTCATTTATCTAAAGCATTATTACTCATGTTCTTTCTTTTTTGTCATAATAGAACCATTTTTAGAATTTTAAGCGCTTAAAGCCACATAGATGCTGGAATATGCTTTTGTTAAGCAAGATGTTTGCTGATGATGCCTTATAACATTGTCATCTGCAAATGAAAACAGTGGTAATATCACATATTTTACCAGTTGGAATACAAAAGCACATTCTAAATTACTGGTTTGCAGAGTCTTCATAATTTTCAGGAAATCAGAGTCATTGGATTTATGATATGGGTAGCATGTTAATAATCGTAACTGTTTGTTTCTGAAGCCCAGTTGTGCATTTCCAGTTTGCCATGACACAGAAGAGCGCTGCAGACTCGTGCTCAGCTATGTTCTGGAGGTGAGTCCCAGTTTGCTCTTCACTTTCCCAGCAGTTTGTGCTTGATCTGCACATAGCATTTGTTTGGTGTCTAATGTTCTGAATGATGTGCTGCCATGAATTTGGTTTTTTCTTCACCTAAAGTAGGAACCAGATAAATCTTCCCCAAATCTTTCAGATCATGTATAGGTTTAAAAGTCTATTTGTAAACTAGAAATTACACCACATACTTAGTTTTGAGTTGACTACTAGTAAATTGTATGTAGTGAATGTTTTCCCTTTTAGGAAAAGTATAAAAGGAACTGCAGAGATGGCTCAGCCGTTTAGAGCACTGGCTGCTCTTGCAGAGGACCCCGGGTTCAGATCTCAACACCTACGTGATGGCTAACAACCATCTGTAACTTCATTTCCAGGGACATGACACCAGTACCCTTACGTACAGGCCCGCAAAACACTCATACACATAAAATAAAATAAATAAAAAATTTTAAAGGTATAAAAGTATATAATTATTTGTATTTTTTTTTTTAAGGGTTTAAAATCTGTAGATAGCAGCATCAAAAAAGAAAGTGACCTTCCAGCGGCCGATCCCAGCACCCCTATCCCCCTAAAATATGAAGATGAATCCACGAGAGGAGGTCCCGAGGGCCTAGAGAAGCAGATGGCCTTATTTCTAGACAAAAGTAAGTTGAATGAAATGCAAATACAGTCTTCTTTAGAATAGCATACCGGTTGGAAGAAGCCAGAATGGTCCTTGTGAGGGAATTGCTGATCCCCTGTCAGCAATTTGGGTAACCTCTTTGGAGGATGGTGTGATAAGAATAGGAGGTAGGAATTGGGTAGGCAGTTAGGGTAAAAAACCCAAAGAAAAGTAGCCAGTTTCTTGGGTAAAAGTCAAAATGTCCTTGGGCCTCTTAGCAACATACTCTGTTCCAAAGGCTAAAATTGTCTAAAATAATTGGGAACTTTTATCTAATCCTTAAAAGATTTTAGGGTTACCTCTTCAGAGGGGGGAGTGTTAGAGTAGCAAAAAGCCCCATTTAAAAAAAAAAAAAAAAAAAAAAAAAAAAAAAGAGTACATGAAGTTACCAGAAAAAAGTAATGGGGAGATATGAGAGGAATTGGAGGGGAGGAAGTGGATATAGATTTGATCAAAATACCTTATGCATGTATGAAATTCTCAATAAGTTATTTTAAAAAAAAGAACAGCATGCCGGTGCTGTGGCAGCTTCTACAAGGCGCTCACTGCAAGGAATAGAGAAAAAGGAAGGGGCGGGGGGAGCCTTTCCTCCGAAACGTAGGACCTTGAAGAGGAATCTTGCTATCCTGGAGATTTTTAAATAGGAACCTGCATCTTCCTGTTGTCCACCTTCAGAGACCAATGCCTTCAGCCCAGTAGAGCTCTGAGGAATTACTGCCTTGGTAAATGTATGGTGTGTGTAAGAGCAAAGAGTTAAGCACCAGACTGTTGGCGTGAGCCTTGGCTTTGAGGGCGAGTTTTCCTCTGTCAGGTCGCCTTTTCCCTTTTCTGTGGAGAACGGCAGTGGCCGTACCTACCTACCTTAAAGCTTCTTAGAAGATTGACGTGACTAATATAGACACATGCTTAGAACTGTGTACATGATAAGCACCGTGGAAGTCATGGCTGTTGTTGCCTCATAGTTGTATGAGCTAGAAATGGCTTTTAAATTCTCCGGTGGGTCCCTTGGATGTGCCACATCTCACAAAGAACACGTGGACCTCGAAGTGAAAATCTAGGGTCTTCGTCTTAATCCAAGTTGTATTTCCTTTTGAACCTTGTTGCTTGCAGTTCCATTTTAAAAAATGTTTTGAAAGTCTGTATTTCAAATCATATGACCTGTTTTCTGGGCCTTTCTTTTCATAAGTAGAAATGACAGAAGTAGAGGGAATAGATTTCTTTCTCTAGTACTTCCGTGGTACCTATTGTGTAAGAAGCACTTCATGCCCCAAGGAGAACTGTACCAAGACTTGGCTGTCTTCTGAAATGCCTTTTCTGTCTCCCACACCTTTGTTGAAAAATCCTGTACCAAACCTGGATGTGGTGGGTATCCATAATCCCATCACTTGAGAGGCTGAGGCAAGGTTCCTGCAAGTTCAAGGGCAGTTTGGACTGTAGAGCAAGACCCTGTCTCAAAAAGGGGGATGGGAGAGGGAAGAAGGAAGTCGGTCCACTCCAGCCGCTATCCTGTCACCAGTATGTCTGTGAGCATGTGCTGGAACCTGCCTTGTGGCCTGCTCTCCTGTGTTGAGCACTTCTATGTACAAACCCACATGCAGTTGTGATCCAGACCTTCATCGTTCACCTCTGGTCTTCCAACAGTGCATAACATGTAGATGATGCTCATGGCAGCAGAAATGAAACCATCATGACACCTAGTGCTTTTGTCGCCTTGAAAAATTGTGTGGTCACTCAGAAATGAGCCGTGGGGTGTTCTTTGTTCCCCAGTATTTTGCTCTTCTCTGTGTTTCGGTGTGGTGTATGTTGTCACAGCAGAGGCCGCCTTTGTGTTCCTGTTTCTGAGCCTGGCACTATGGGTATAGCATAAGAGTGATCATTTGTGGAATGAAGAAGGTAATAAGGGCTAGAATTTGCTTTGTTTTCTGTTTGTTTCAGATAAGAGTCTCAGTCTGTACCCTAAGCTGGCCTGGAACGCACCCAGGCTGGCCACATGCTTGGCAGTCCTTCTGCTTCAGGCTCTTGAGTGCTAGAATTAAAGGCATGAGCCACCGTGCCTGGCAACTTTAGAGTTCTTGATAGAAGAAATGGTAAACTGCTATGTGAGATAGGAAAAGGGAAAAAAGGCATCTTTTTTATTGTGAGACTTAGATTGAAATAAAATGTATGTCTCTTTTTCTTCCACCCCATCACAGTGGGCTCCCTTCAGAAGGGCAGTTGTTCGAGTCAGTCTGGGATGATCCCTGGTTCTTGGCAACATAAGATGAAACTTCAACTGATTCTCAAGTCATCGAAGGCCTACTATATTCTGTCTGATGCTGCCATGAGTCTTCAGAAATATGGAAGAGCCTTGCGATACATTAAGCTAGCTCTGCAGAGCCACGGTGAGCTCCTGTAAAAGAGAATGTCCCAAAAGGTCCCAGGAGGAAGTCAAGACATCTGAATCATTGTGAACCCTCTCTCTTCTTTCTGTTAAAATTTGATTTCAAAACATCTTCCAGTCCTGTGACTGACTGTTGTGGTATTTAGTGCTCAGTGTTGGGATGCCTCTTTGAAGTACGTGAGGCCATGTGTTACCTGATGGGAACAGTAGATGTCAGCTGGTAACAGTTTCTTCATATAGCCTTGTTCATCGATTTCTAACATCCTTAGGTGTTTCTTCCCTCTCTGTTTTGCAACAGATACTTATTGCTGCCTCTGCACCAATATGCTTTCTGAAGTGCTGCTGTTTCTTTCTCAATATTTGACCCTCTGCGGTGACATCCAACTAATGCTGGCACAGAATGCAAATAATAGAGCAGCACACCTAGAAGAGTTTAATTACCAAACGAAAGAAGACCAGGAAATCCTCCACAGTCTCCACAGAGAGTCCAGCTGTCAGGGTATGCCAGCACCTCTCCTGGCTTACTGGGATTATTTGCCAGGCTAAAGAGTATTTGAATATGCTCTCACAGTGACAGAGACATTAGTGTTTCGATTGTTTTCTTAGTTTTAGAATTTAGAATGACCACGATCCTGTGAGTGTTTATTAAATATTTTGCAGTTGCTAAAACCAACCAGCTATGCACAATCTTCGTGAGGTTTTCTGGTGTACTTCCAGGTAGCCCTGTAAGTCATGGAGTTTTTTGGGGGAAAGGAATAACAGTTGGCGAAAGTGAGTTAGTTACTCTCTGAATGAGCCTAGTGGCTAAGATAAGTTACCTTGGTGTCTCAGGTCATCTGTTCTAAAGCAGAGACGTGCTGTAAGTGACCAGGTGTCAGTCTTCTGAAGGAGCTCTTAAAGCATCACAGAATGGCAGGGCTGTGATCTAAAGTTGTTTGTGTCACTCGAATCTACCCCCCAAAGAAAACTGACGGCTAGAGGAGAGTGCCGAGGGGAAGGCGCTGTTTCTAGTGTTTCCCCTTCTTGTCTTCTCCCTCCTTCCAAGATGAGTGGGCAGCTCCTCAGTGTTTTCTTTCTGTCGAAATACTTCTTTGTGAGTGACAGTCCCAGGTATTAAGAGTCCTACGACAGGAATGCTGCCTTTCCCTCACGTGTTGGCTCTGGTGCCTAAGTTGACTCCAGTCCTATTAGATGTGTCCATAGGTCTTTGAGGACTTAACCAGCAGCCTCTTCAGTGACTTAAACTTAGCATTAATACTGTATTTCAGAACCTAGTCCCATTAATTACCAAAACAAACTGCTTACCATGTTTTGTACACCTTTAGGTCTGTACAAGTAACCTGGAAAAAATCCAAGTGGTAGTTTGGTATTTGTAGACAGGAAACTATTCCTTTCTTTGAGCATGAATATTCCAGGAAAGTACAATTTCATTCAATAAAGACTTCTTTGCTCTGCCATGTGAATTTCTTATGTTGGTTGCATCACTGTTTGTGGTACTGTACTTCCTATTGCTTGGACTTTAAGTGTCAGTGTCATTAGCTACCAAGACGGAAGGGCAACTATGACTTGTATCGATACTTCTTTTTTTTTCTTTTCCTTTTAAGGGTTTGCATGGGCAACTGATTTGTCTACAGACTTAGAAAGCCAACTTTCAGTCAGTTGTAAATGCTACGAGGCTGCTAATGAAATCTTGCAATTTAGTGACTTAAAAAGTCAGAACCCAGAGCACTATGTCCAAGTGTTGAAGAGAATGGGGAACGTTAGAAATGAAATCGGGGTGTTCTACATGAATCAGGCTGCCGCATTGCAGGGTGAGAGAGCAGGTGAGTGTCTCCTCCGTCCTCTCCCCTCCCCCCCTTACTCCCTGGTGCAGTAGGGAATGGTCCCGATTGTTAAGGGTGAAGCAAAGAGCCGTGGCACCTGATGAGACGTTATCACAAGATGCTCTGTTAGAGACTCTGCCATTGTTAAATTAGGGGACAAATAAAAGCATTATTTCCCCTTGGGATTCCTCATTTCAGTATCATCCATCCTGACTTTTTTTAGAGGGGGATTCTTTTTGAGACAGGGTCTCCCTGTAGCCCTAGCTGGCCTGGATTCGCTATGGAGACCAGGCTGGCCTCAAACTCCCAGAGATCCACCTGCCTCTGCCTCCCGAGTGCTGGGATTAAAGGCGAGCACCACCACGCCCGGCCTGACTTTTTTTTTAAATGTGTTTTTGAGAGGGTCTCCCTGTTGCCCCAGCTGGCCTAGAACTCATGTGGACCAGGCTGGCCTCCAGCTCACAAAGATCCACCTGTCTCTGCTTCCCTAGTGCTGGGATTAAAGGCGTGTACCACCATGCTTGGCCCCCCTGACTTTTCTAATTGTCTGGCTAATTCAGAAACAGCTTGGGCAGCCAGCCATGTACCACGTACCGCGTACCATGCTTTATGTGGGGTATGTAATTGGTACCCCTTCCACTTGGAAAATCCAATACAAATGCAGGTCTCTGGGAAATGTACGTAAGGGTATATGCAGTATAGTAGGAGAATGGGGAAGCTGTGTCTTAAGGTTATCACGTATTTGGAAGGCTTTGGGGAAGACAGTGTAGTTGAGCAGGCAGGCCCTCCCTGACCTCAACATGCAAATGTGAGTAAAGGAATGCTCTGGAGACTGAGCAGGCAGTGCACAGAAGGAGCCATGGGGAGGTCCTGAGCAGCAGGAGGAGGCCACATGGGAGTTCAGGAAGCAGTGGGTGGTGGCTCAGGCTGCTTGATTTTGGTTTGAGACACATTTGGAACATGGATGTGGAAGGGCCTGGTTTACTAGTTGATTAGTAATATGCGGAGATCCGTTAGAGCTGGTGCCCTCCCCCCCAGATTGAGGAGCATTCCATAAGGGTGGTAGCTGGAGCCACTGGAGGGGATGTCAGCACAAAGGCTGGGTTCCTGAGAAGGGATGGGGCTGAGCTGGAACTGAGGGTAGGTAAACTGAACACACTTCAGCTCCTGTAGAGTTGTGAACTATGCTTGACCTTTGGGATGGGTGGAAACCCTGAGTGTTTGAGGACTTGTAGAGTTTCAGTCACAGCCCAGGAGAACTGGAGAGAACCTGAACTGCAGCCTCTTAACCCCACGGACCATGGTGTTTGACTCTTTACAGTATAACGCTTTGCTTAGGCACCTTTGCTGCTGTTAGTCTCAGCCAGTCTTGAGAAAAGGGTTGTGGTTAAACGTATTGGCCTGCTGGGGCTGCAGTACCACTGATGGTAGCATAACATAAAAACAGAAAGGTATTGTCTTACAGTTTTGAAGCCTGGAAGTCCAAGGTCAAGGACTTGCCTTTACAGTAAAATAATTCTCATCTTTTGTAGTTTGCTAGAATTGCTCTGTGCTTCTTCCCTTAAAAGCTAAGGCCCCTCACAGTGTCCTCACCTGCGTTCCTCTGCGTATGTTCCCCTTCCTCCAGGGATCCCAGTCCTCACTCTTGATGACCACGTTTATCTTCAATTACCTCTTTAAAGACCTGGTCCTCAGTACAGTCACGTGGTCAGGAAGTGAGTGGGATTAGCATTTCCGCAGAATGAGTTGTGAGGGACATGCAGTTGAGCCCAGGTGGTGGCTTTCCCCAGTTCCGACTGCCGCACTCCTTGTCATCACTTCAGATAGTGGTTCACTGATGTCTGCTTATGCAATTGTTTTCTTTCTTTCTTTGTGAAGTGAGCAAATCTGTGTCTGCCGCAGAGCAACAATTGTGGAAAAAAAGCTTTTCTTGTTTTGAAAAGGGAATTCACAACTTTGAGTCGATTGATGATGCTACAAATGCTGCCCTTCTGCTGTGCAACACGGGAAGACTCATGAGGATCTGTGCACAGGCACACTGTGGTGCGGAGGATGAATTTAAACGTGAATTCTCACCAGAAGAGGGCTTGTATTACAACAAGGTAACATGTTTGCCTTTATTTTGGGCCTTATCCACTTACTCTTGTCATCTGTGTAAACGTGGCCTTTGCTTCACTAAATAAAACCAAAAATGGTTACACCATGGTGATGGCATAGTAGTAGCCCATAAGAACAGGAAGATGTCAGTGCTGGGGACGGCACATGGAGCTGTTAGGAAAAGATGGCTCAGTAAATTATGCTGGTGTGGCAAGAGCAAGTGTTCTGTGGCTTAGAGAGTGACGCGGGGAAATGAAACTGGAACTGGAAGGCCCAGTAGATGCAGGGGAAGGGCGTAAACACATCAGAAGGTGAAAGGGAGGCAGACCGCAATCTAGGGGGCATGATGAGAGCACCTGTGACAGGTTGGAGGTTAAGGCCCACTTAAGATGTGAAGCAGTAAGAATCTTAAAACATGTTGCTGGGGAGAGATGCTCAGCCTGAAGACCCGGGTTCAGTCCCCAGAACTCATGTGGTGGCAAGAGAGAACTGGCTCCTGTATCTTGTCCTCTGACTTCCACGTGTGCCATGGTACACGAGTGAGGACATATGCAAAGTAAGCAAGTAAAAGTAATGTTTAAGAGCCGGGTGTGGTGGCGCATGCCTTTAATCCCAGCAGAGGCAGGCAGATCTCTGAGTTCAAGGCCAGCCTGGTCTACACAGTGAGTTCCAGGACAGCTGGGGCTACAGGGAGACTCTGTCTCAAAAAGACCAAAAAAAAAAAAAAAAAAAAAAAAAAAAAAAAAACCAAAAAAAGTAATGTTTGAAAAAAGGAATGAGTGTTTGGGTGATTGCCCGTTTTTACACTTTACATTCCTGCAGAATATTCTGTTCGTGGCGTAGTACATTTTGAAAAAAAGTGACCTTGTTTTTGCTTTTCTTTCTGAAACTTGTACACAAAGTCAGTATTCAGGCGTGGTGGCACACACCTTTAATTACAGCACTTGGGAGGCAGAGGGACCCTCTGGTGGTGGAATTGTGGAAGGTGCTGCTATCTGTATTCACTGTGAATACAACGGCGTTTGAAGGCAGAAGGACCTGCTTTTTACAGTAAAATAATTCTCATCTTTTATAGTTTACTAGTTACATAAAGTAATGTTTATTCTAAATGAAAAAGAAAAAATGCATCCAGGTGCCTCAGCCCGAGTCAGACAACTGCACTGAGGACACTCTACGGAGGGCGTTCAGTCTGCTCCGGAGGTGTTCTTTACTAAAATATTTTCATTTATTTTCCTTTCTTCGTGATATTATCCTTTTGTAAATTCTCCCAGAATTGATGTCCAAGTGATTTTGAAGCATGTATAATTTTACTACAGACCTAGCATATGTTTAAACTGAGTCACACATTTACACTTTACCTCCCTGCAGGCTGTAGATTACTATTTGAAAGCGCTGAGGTCATTGGGCACTCGAGACATACACCCAGTTGTTTGGGATTCAGTGAACTGGGAACTGTCCACTACTTACTTCACCATGGCAACTCTACAACAAGATTATGCTCCATTGTCCAGAAAAGCTCAGGAGCAGGTAATGAGGTCACTGGATTACGGACAAGTCCTCAGCACTGCTCCTTCACTTGATAGCAAGCACCCTCCTTCCTCTTTTCTTTAGCGAGCAGTATTTAAATGCTGTGAAATCTTCAGTCAATATTATAAGCTTGTTAATTTTTTCTCCCCCTTTGGAAAACAGATTGAAAAAGAAGTCAGTGAGGCCATGATGAAGTCCCTGAAGCACTGCGACATTGACTCCGTGTCTGCTCGGCAGCCCCTTTGTCAGTACCGCGCTGCCACCATCCACCACAGGCTGGCTTCCATGTACCATAGCTGTCTGAGGAATCAGGTGTGCTCATCCCGAAGTAAATTCTATTTGAAAGTGTTCTCTCCCCCTTTTTAAAACTTTCATGTATAGTTTAAATGCCATCTCTTTCTATTTGCTAATATGGCTACTTTAGAAAAACTTGTATCTAAATGCTTTTCCCTTCCTACCTGCACCTGTATTGATTGGGTCTTAGTGTGGAAATCATATTTTCCTGAGTATGTTACTTTTGTTTTTCCCAGATGTAGTTAGGCTTTCTGCAGTATAGTTCTGCATATATTTTAAATGCACTTCTCCCATTATTGTAAAATGGAGTGTGCACAGGAGAATATGGAAGTAGTGGTGCAGGACGGGCACAGCTGGCCTGGAACTTGCTCTGTAGACCAGGTTGGCCTACATCTCACAGAGATCTGCCTGCCTCTGCCTCCCGAGTCCTGGGATTAAAGGTGTGCGCCATCACATCACAGTTTAAAGAATGACCAGAGGAAATCCCAGTGTGCATGGTCTGGAGCTCGGAACGAAGTGTGGTCTGCAGAGCCCCGAGTGTCCCTACTGATGTGTTGCCATCAGTACCCAGATTAACAGAGTCCTGAATGTCTAGATCTTTTGTGTCTAGAACTGAAAAGAGGTTTTTGCTTCCTGAGGAGTTTTATAGGAGTCATTCTGCTGTCCTGTGGTTCCCTACCTTCCGCTAGACATGTTTTTACATTCAGCCATATTGGTGCATGTAACCCCCAATGTTCTCAGCTCAGTTTTACTTTTTTTTTTTCCCTTGCGTTTCTGAAGCAAGGTCTCCCTAAGCAGCTCAGACAGACCTGGAACTTGCTGGTACCCCAGGCTGACCTGAACTTGTGATTCTCCTGTCTCTCACCTCCTGCTTTATTGTGACATTCCACAGCAGGCACTAAGCGGCTGTTCTAATCTAGTAAATTTATAGAACTTACTTGAGAAATAAAAAGCACTCTGCAACAAAGTGGGAAGGCTTCCACTGTTACAAGGAAGCCGCAGCCTTAGGGTCATCACCATTGCCTTTGTTCCTAGGTTGGGGATGAGCATCTGAGGAAGCAACACCGGGTGCTGGCAGACCTTCATTACAGCAAAGCTGCAAAGCTGTTTCAGCTTCTCAAAGACGCTCCCTGTGAACTGCTTAGAGTGCAGTTAGAAAGAGTAGCGTTTGCGGAGTTTCAGATGACCAGTAAGTCCGGCTTACTTCTCAGAACGTGTGTGCTAGCTCTTGTGTTGGATTGTCTTAGAGGGAGGCCAAGCTGTGCATCGCTTTTGGATGTACGAAATACTATACCATCTTGCTAATGTGCCCGAAGTTAGGAATCTCAGTAGAAGCCAAGAGAAGTCACGATGCTGAAACAGGGAAGTGAACTTGGGCCTTTAAAGATTTAAACAGCATGAAAAGCTTGAGGGTGAGAAGCAGCAGTATGTGCAATATGGAGCTGACACTTGGCAGCTTTGGGTTGTAGGTGGACTAGAAATGAGCTGTGAGTTGGAAGTGGGGGTCGGGGGAGTGAGAGCTGCGTTGTCGTCTATACAGCAGAGGTTAGTGAGTGCTCTGCTTTCTGGGGTTCTCTCTGGAGCTCTTGCCCGTTGGCTTCCCTCACCTGCATAGGTCTCTAGAGAAATATCTCTTGTACTAGTAAAGAAACTATTATTTGAAGTATACCAACTCATTTTTTAATGTTATAAATTTAAACTTCAGTGTACTTAAAGTTGTAGAATCTGGAGCGTTCCAGATATCTGGTAATGGGATTAGGAGTACTAGCCTGTGAAATCTGTACACTCAAAGGTCTGGATGCTTCTAGTCCTAGACAGCTTGGGAGAGGGATGCTCAACCTGTGTTTTAAATACATGACTTAGCATGTATGAGATGCAGCCCTCCTTGGGAGGCATGGAAGAGACTCCAAGTTTGCTGTGAGCAGGAACTCTGGAAGCTATAAGGTCATTTTCACATGGACCCACTTGAACCTTATAAGTCTAGAAACATTTGTCACAGTTCTGTATTACTGCCAGTGGTAATGCATGGCAGATGTAGGGGATAAGCTCTGAGATAAGTGCAGTCCTTTCTAGGTAGCCCTGAGTAATCTGATTTCACAGAAAAATCATGGAATTTTCTAACAAATTTTAATTCTTTAGGATTAGTATGTATCATTTTTATAAAAGAAAAGAGACAGTTTTCTAAGATGATCAGTGTAGTTAATCACCTTTTTGGTTTTTTTTGGTCTTTTTGAGACAAGCTCTCCCTGTAGCCCCAGCTGCCCTGGAACTCACTATGTAGACCAGGCTGGCCTTGAACTCAGCAGAGAGCTGCCTGCCTCTGCCTCCCTAGTGCTGGAATTAAAGGCCTGCACTACCACGCCCAGCAGCTAAATCACCTTTTAAAAGCATTTTTAGAGCCAGATGACTCTGGGTAAAGGTGCTTGCCACTGAGCCTGACCAACTGAATTCTATCCCGGGGACCCACAAGTTGCTGTTTGACCTTCAGATGCATCCTATGGCATGCATATGGCATGTACCCCCCCCAACACACAGTAAATGAATGTAGTTAAAAATTTTAAAAAACCATCTTAGTACTATGAATATCTCAGAAAATTGTTAAGGTTTATTAGCTAGATTTGTGGGTTTTATAAGCCATATTAGTAATACTTTAGTTTATGACACTGTATTTTGGGCTGGAGCGATGGCTCGGCGGTTAAGAGCACTGGCTGTTCTTGCAGAGGACCTGGGTTCAATTCCCAGCACCCACATGGTGGCTGACAACCATCTCCAGTTCCAGGGGATCCGATGCCCTCTTCTCACCTTTGGGCATTGCATGACACAGGTGCACTTATACTGCACATGCAGGCAGTACACTCACACACATAAAAATAGTAAAATATTTTAAAGGCACTGTATTTCCTGTTGTGTACCATAGTATGTAGGACTCTTGGGAACCTTCCTCTGTCTGTTGTCTGCTCCCTGCCCTATTGACAGTTCTTCTTCTTCTTCTCCTTAGGCAGTATATGTTTCTGATCAGGGCATCAATAGGGGCACTGACAGCCCCCACTGGTGAACCAAGATCAGCAGATCCTCTTTGAGAACTCTAGCACACCAGGACAAGTAATCATGTCAGGATGTGACTCTAGCCTCAGGCTATATTGGCGGTTCTATACATAATCAGCTTGCCTCCTGGATGTCACATGTACCCTGACATCTTGTCTGTTGAATTTAAAGTTATTTGGAAAGTTTTAGATTTTACTGTAAAGGAAGAAGCCAACAGTCAGCAGATGGGGAGTTCCAATGTCTCCTTTTATTTCTGACACCAACTGCAAGTTTAAGGCTCTGACACCATCTTTGGGGTTTGGTAGTTTGCCAGGACTCTCAGAATTCAGTGAAAGCTGTTCTTACAGCAAAAGGCTGTACAGCAAATTAGCCAAGGGAAGAGGTGCTTGGACAGAGCACTCTAGATGGGATGTCCCCCTGGCTTCTCTCAGAGTTATAGGTGGTGCTGACCCCAGCCCACTCGAGCAGTGATGTGTATCTACTCCAGTGACTGCCATTCAGGAAGTTTAGCTGTGGAGTCCACAGTTTGTCTTCAGATTTGGTCATAATGGCCATGGTTACTGCTGCATGGTTGACTTAACCTCCAGCTTCTCTAAAGGACAAGCTGTTACCCTGGGGCCAAGAGAGCCCTTGTCAATCACATTGTGCAGTGTGGCCCTAGGCCCCAGACAGGCAGACACTTTGGTCATAGACATCATTTGCAGGGCTTACAGATCATCTCAGGAGTGGAGGAGAAATCTGGAGGCTAACCCTTTGCTTCACAGCACTGCACTACACACATACTGGGTGTAAAAAGAACAGGGCTAAGGTGCTTTGTAGTATCTGAAAACTGTAGAGAAGTTTGATACTTTTCTCCTTTTTGATACATCTGTCTACTCTGAACAGAAGGGTAGTCCCTTACTTTATGGTGGGACCTCCAGTGTTAAATAGTCAAGTGACTTGATCAACTTGACACAGCTGATGGATAGTGGAGTGACCTTTGAACTACAAACTCCCCTTTGTTGATGTTCATTACTCTAATACTTCAGATACTGCTCCTGTTCCGAGAAGACTGTCCTCAGCCTAAGAGCTGAACAGCGAAGCAAGGGAACAATGTCAATATAGTTGTGCATTCTTTTTTTTTTTGAGGCAGGGTCTCCCTGTAGCCCCAGCCAGCCTGGAACTTGCTATGTAGACCAGGCTGACCTCAAACTCACAGAAATCCACCTGCCTCTACCTTCTGAATGCTGGGATTAAAGGCATGCACTACTACACCTGGCATAACCGTGTATTAGAAGTTAAAATTTTTATTGTAATAGTGCTTTGTCTAGATTTAGTATGTTTTTCAAAGGAAAATTAATAAACTCTTTGGGTTTGGTTTTGTTAAGATTGTCATGAGTTGCCTTTATGGTATTTGAAAATCAGTAACATTAACAGTAGATTGGTTTTTAGATGTATAGTTTAATAATGATCATTTTGTGTTTAATACTTTAGGTCAGAATAGCAATGTTGGAAAGTTAAAAACATTATCTGGGGCACTTGATATCATGGTAAGAACTGAGCATGCATTCCAGCTCATTCGGAAGGAGCTCATGGAGGAATGTGACCAGGTAAGTGAAGAAAACTACTGTTTTTTTTGTCTTATACTAAATGGTATGTATGTAGTAGACATATAGCATATACTTAGGAATGTGTGTATGTTTTATGTATGTATACACACATGCTTTGCATAGAAACACATTAATCATAATTTGTTAAAATTTAGTCCATTTTATGCTGTAACAAAGTACTGGACACTGAGTAAGTTGTAAAGAAGTATGTTTGTCCCAGATTGTGATCCAGATTAACAAGTCCAAATGCATGGCACCATTGCCCTGGTAAAGGGCCTCTAGCCACATGACAGCATGGTGATATGGAAAGGGAACTGCCACATGCAGAATGGGACAAGACATGAAGTAGCCTCCTCTTGAACAACTTGGCTCCTGTAAGAATTAAGCCAGTGTTGATGCAGAAGCACAGCTCTCACCTCAGGGACTAAGGGGTACTTTATTCTGCAGCCACACCAACGACCACAGCCTAGGAACCACTGTTCCAATGTGCTAACCGTTGTGTGAGATTTTATAGTAATAGCACAAAGAAATCATAAATCAAGGCCTATTCCAAATATGTTGGTGGGAAAATCATGCAGGCAGATTACAGCAAAGTGGGGAGATCTCTGCTAGCTCTGGTTCCTGACAACACTCTTGGCTTTTGGGTTGGTAGAAGCTAGTCATCTGTAAGTCTGTTCCTAAAGGGTTTACTTAATGGTTACCAGGAGATGTTAGTTCAAACAGAAGTGGATGATAAATGGCGATAGGGAACTAGAGATAGCCCAGGATGATTTGACTTCAGCTTTTAGCTCTTTAACCATGGCAGTTCTCAGCTTTGTAGAGTCATTAACACAGTTGTGGATTCTTCTTTTCTGGGAACTTTAGTTCACACCACTTACCTGACCCACTCTCCAGAGACAACATTAATCCACTGGCAAGGGTAGGGCCCAGTGGTGCCTCTAGGCCCATATCTTAAAGGCCCCGCTGGCTTATGAGCACATAGTGCAAATGAGCTTCCATCCAGCATGGGAGCTTTTGAAGGTTCATCCAAAGCATAGCAGTTATATTTGCGTGATGAAATTATTAAATCGCCTTCATTTGCAGGCATAGCATTTACATTTTGAAAGGGCTTTGTTGTTGCTGCTGCTGCTATTTGAGACAACGTCTCCCTGTAGCCCCATCTGACTTGAAACTCGCTATGTAGACCAGAATGGCCTCAGTCTCATTCATAGAAATCCACCTGCTGCTTCTGCCTCCCGAGTACTGGGATTAAAGTTGTGCAGCACCATGCCCCTCTAGAATAATCTTTAATGAAACCATAGTTACCAAGGAGCTCAACTAGCAAGTTACAAAGCCTCTTGAGGTTGTTGATTTTTGTTTTTTCTAATTTGGAGGTTTATTTTGCTTTTGTTTTTTACAAAAGAAGAAAGCCTGTACTCTCTTAATTGCACCAAATTTCCTGGGAGTATTTGGCTTAAGCAAGCTTCACAGGAAAGAATAATTTCTGGCATTCCAGATTTCTGCAGCTTTCTGTATTGCTGAAAACTCCCCCATACTCTGCCCTCCCTTCTCCAGCCTGGTAGGCCATGTCCCAGCTGTGCCCCTTTCCATGTTGCTCCTGTGGTGACCAGTGTTGAGAACTCATGAAAATTTTATACAGGATTCACTTCTTCCACATAAATATTTAGGTGTGGGGCACTTTATTATGCGTCTGTCAGTGTGGTCTGGGGTCAGTTTCCTGTCGGTGATTTCATAGTACCATCATCATATAGGAAGTGGTGGGGCTGGGCGGCTTAGGTGGTGACACTGTGCTTGTGTCTCTAGCCCAAGGGTGGTGAGGCGGCTCCCGCTGCAGATTCTTCACCTAATCTGAATCGAGAGGAAGTCATCAAACTCCTCAGTATATTTGAATCTCGTCTGTCATTCCTTCTCCTGCAATCCATCAGACTGTTGTCGTCATCTAAAAAGAAATCAAGGTAAACTGCATGGTTGTCGATGGGATTTTCTTTGCTCATATCTTGCCTATGAGTTATCACTATTGATGGAAAGAAAAGGTAGGGTTTTCGTGTTTTGTATTTTGTTTTTCCTGTTCTATGTAGAAATCCAGAATTTTCAGTACTAATCCTTGGTTGGTGAGACGTATTTTCATATTACAGATCTAAAAGATTTGCGCCCAGAGTAAATACCAAATTGATAGTGTGTATTCCCCGAGAGAGACAGGTAGCCTAGAAATGGCATGAAGTCTGGGCCATACTGTGGATTCTGAGGGCTAGTTGCACCTGAGAGTTAGGGAGTGGATGTCAGTCTCTGAAGCTGGGACGCTAGTGAGGAGGAAAGGAAGAGTGAGCATAGCGGTGCCGGGTCCTCTTGATGACCTCGCAGCACACTCTCACCAGAGCTGGTGTTTTTGCGTCACTAATTGGAAATCAAGTACATCACTCGAGATAAAATAACAACCTTAAAAAATGCAAGTACGGGCTGGAGAGATGCTTAGTGCTTAAGAGCACTGGCTGCTCTTGTAGAAGACCTAGGTTCAAATCACAGCCCTCACATGGTGGCTAACAACCATCTGTAACTCCAGTTCCAGGGAATCCAATGCCACCTTTGGACCTCCATGGGCATTGTACAACATGGGTGTACTTACATACATGCAGGAGGTACAGTCATACACATAAAATGAAGATAAATTTTTTTAAGAAAACAAGTTTAGTCTATATTATAAAACATTGAAAATAGATGAAAGATCACTCATCCAGATACATCCATTATTCTATACATTCTCCGAACTTAAAATCTTGGAGTACAGATCATTTTTGGCCTGTTGTAATTTATGTACAGTGAAATTCACTGCTCTGAGCTTCGATACAGCATTCAAGTTTTTGCCACCACCACTGTGACACAATACAGTTGTAACACTGCAGATTCCTTCTTGCCGAAATCAACCAGTCTGATCTGCGCAGTCTCCGTCGTGTCTTCAGTCTCTTACCATGTTACTGTGGTCATTCACAATCCCCTGTAAGAGTTCTGCTGTTGTCATTTCATCTCAGTCTGGCCCGGTGCTGTTGAAATCTGGACATCTCTTAGGACACTGGAGGCTGGTTTGGTTTGTCTGCCTTTCACCTGCCAGGTGTCCATTGGACTTTATTTTTGTAACTTGACTTGAGCTTTGGTTGAGAATTTTTTGTTGCCGTGGCTGTCTTCCATATATCACAGCATCCAAGTTCTAACAATAAAGTAGATGCCAGTAACAACCGTTTCACTCTCTGAGGTTTTAGTTAGCTGTGGTCCACTGTAATCCGGAATATTAAATGGAAAATCCCAGACATAAACCGTATACATTTTGTGTGCCATTCTGTGTAGCATGTTGAAATCCATGCTGGTCACCCAGGATCTGCCTCACTGCTTTGTCCAGCATTTCCATATACACTCTACCCATCAGTCACTTAGCCTTCTTGGTGATCAGGCCACTCCTGCAGCATCAGCACCCTATACAGTGTAGCCCTTATTTCACTTTAAAATGGCCCCAGATCACAAGCGTGTGGTGATGCTGGCAATTTGAATATGCCAACTTTAAGTGAAAAAGGTGAAAGTTCTCAATAAAGAAGAAAATGCTGAGGGTTGGTAAGGTCTGTGATAGTGCTAATTACGTACTGTGTCTGATTTACAAACAGTTTTGTCACATGTATGTATAGATAGGGGTCAGTTTTACCTAGTTTCAAGCATCCACTTGTGAGTATCAGAAAATCTCTCCCTGGGATAAAATAAGGTGGGATGACTGTACCTTGCACTAGGGTGAGGCTGGTCTGTGGAAGGAGCTTTGCCTTCTCCGTTCATACTGCACCTTGGAGAGACTGTCTCTGCACACCCACAGAGTTAGCCATGTTCCGGTGTACATGCTCCTTGTAATTTTTAGCCTGTTTGGGAGAGGAGGACCAAGTTGGTCAGGAGTTCTTAGCAGTTTGGGCGTACCTCAGTCTTAGACTTACTTGCTTTTGAGTAGCTTAAGGGAGAGGTTTTAGTTGAAGGAAGTCTCAGTCTCAGGGACACTGCATTTCATTCAGTCTAGTTGTTGATCCTTGGGCCCTTCAGGCACTCAGCAAGGTGTGCTAATGTGTTCATTACAGTTTAGCACATACACGCATCTTTGTGGAGAATCAGAAGGCAAAGTAGGTAGTGTGTGTCATAGCACTCACTGTTGAGAAGGAACTTGTGGCTTTCCTGGCTTCACTGCTAGCTGCAGTTAACATGTGTCCACAAGATGGCATTGTGCATATGATTCTGTGAGAAGCACCGTAATCTGTTGATTTTCACAAAACAGTGGTTTAAATAACTGGTTGACAGATAATAGCTTTAGACTTTTGATATGCTTTATAATCACAGTACTACTATGTGTGACCTAAGTAATGTCTGCTTTCAGTTCAGGTTATTAATACTCTGTTGTAACCTAAAGTCCCTGTGAGCTAATTTGTGTTTTCAGGTTTATCGAGCAAAAGAAGCATGATACTGTGGCAGCCTTTGAAGCAGAGTGTGTTGGTTACTAAGTCGTGACTGACTTCTCTTTTACTCATGTGCAGATGAAAACATCTAGAATGTTCTTACTGAGGAAAACATCCTTTGCAGGCTTAGTTATCTCCCTGTGAAGTAATGCATTCCCTTTGAGAGTAGAGGGATGTCAAAATGTGACCTTAACGAAGGGAAGCAGTAAGTGTAGTGTTTCTCCCCTTCACCCTGAGACACATTAAGAAGTGGGCTTAATAATTGAAAGTATCAAATTTACTTAGGTTTCTATATAATTGTAGTGAACGCTAAGAAAGCTAAGAGTTACTTAATTTTCTCACTGAAAATTTATTTTTCAGATTGTGTGTGTATGGTATTGCACTATTATACAAAATGCTAATTTTGATTATTAGGTTCCCAAGGATTGATTTCCTCTTTGGATTAAGAATTGATCTCTTGTATTTCAGTGTTTACAGCTGAAGCAGAGTGTGAGGTCTGACATTTTGGTGGCTTTGGTATTTGAGATTTTAAAAACTATGAAAAACAAAGTCTGAGGCGTCATAAAGCTTTCCCCCCAGTGCAGAGAACAGAATGACTTCTTGGACTGTTCTCAGTGAAATGTGCACATTGAGTATTTAGTGGAGTGAAACGGGGAAAGGATAAGTTAGCTAATGACCTTAAAGAAGAGGGATAAAGAGCCCTGTGCCCCGATGGAGTCCTGTGAGAGATAGTTTCATGGCACTGGTGAGGACAGATGGAGGAAGGGAGAACTTTGTGGAAGCTGAGTCAGGAGTCTGGGTGAGGTCCTGGGTGGGTGGATTGTGTTCTATAGCTCATGCCTGGCTGGTGGTTTGTGTGTGTGCCTCTATACACTGAGGATTTAGGCCAGGCTCATGTGAGTAGAGGAATTGTTACCCAGCTTCTCTGTGTCCTCACCAGCCTCCACTTGTGCTCTATCCTCTGCCACCGTTTTATAGTGGTCAGTGTGTTCTCCCAGTGCCCCTCATTCTTGGTCCTGCCACAAGGCAGGGAGTTTTTGTTTGATTCACTGCCAAGAGCAGTTCTGGTCTATGGCAAGCTTGTGTATATACCTGGGTCCTTACTGGCATGTTGACGTAAACATCTTACACCCTGAACTACCAGTGTAAGAAGCTAGGCATGAAGAGGCATGGACAGTGCCAGCAGCTCTGAAAGTGGCTGTGCATTTCTGCCCTCTCCTGCCCTTCACCTGTCTGTTTTTAACCAGCAGTAACATTGAAGAAGATGCCATCCTCAGAACCAACAAACAGATTTACTCCCAGCTTTTGAGAGCCTCGGCCAACAAAAGCACAGCTCTTGTGGAGAGAGTTGGTGTCATCGTCCGTGTGCTGCAGCAGCTCGCACATGGGCGCAGTGGAGCAGGTGGCAGTGGTGTTCAGTGACCTACTGAGTTGCAGCCACAGACTTGCTGCTAGTGCCTTCCCAACCTGGAGCCATTCTGTCCACTTGGTGCTGCACCACATTAAAAAGTGAGGAAATGCCATTTAAATGGGCCCACAATGGAGACCGTCATTTCCGTAGCAGCAGAGGACACAGGTGCTTTGGCTGCTTCTTGGAAGGATGAACAACAGAATGGACCGAAAGCTCCCCTCACTTACTTCCTTGGGAAGTACGTAGTACGTCACCGTTGACACGTTCAGTGAATACGACATTTTCAAATAGCTCTGAAGTGTTAAGCTATTGGGTAGAAGATGAGATTACTTTGGATAAAATGTAACTTTGGTCAAGAGAACTTTTATCCAGATGATTTTACGGGTTCAAATGGGTTGCAGGAACTCCCTGTACATTAGTGCTTCCTTTTAAATTGCACAAAAAAGTATACCCTTTAAAGCTACAATGCAGGATTTTTTGAAGACTAGTGATTGTGCAGTTCTCTGTATTTAATGCATGTTCTGAGGATTCTCTTTCTTTGAGTTTCTATGATACTGATAAAGAATAGGTACTACTCTCTTTTCATTTTAAACTTGAAGCTATGAATAAGGTAAGAAAACTATTTTGAATAAATTATTTATTTAAAATTCCTTTGTATTTTCCACTTTGCATTCTTCCTGTTGTGCTGTGGTTACATCTGGTTGTAATTAACACAGCTATACTATTCATAAGTCATAACATTCAAACTGAAATTTGGTCACCCATCAGATTCTCCCTGGAGCGTTGTGCTTGTTGGAAGCTGCCGCCGTGTGGCTCTCCTCCACTTGCAGGCATACATTCTCTGCTTTCTTCAAAGCCTACTGTGTATAAGGCTCTAATTCTGAGGTTTCAAGAAAGTGCAACATTTAAGTCAAGTAGACTTCTTTTGGGTTGGATGATAGTCTGGGGCCCTGTACAACAGTGACCTGTTGTGAACTAGCCTTCAGGCTTAAGGTGTCAGCCACTATGCAGACCCTCCATGGGGACCAGCAGTCCCTCCCACACCAGCCACACCTCTGCAGGCATGTTGTCTGGAGTAAGCTGGTTTCTCTAACATGAGCTGGCATCCATCATTTCTTGGCAGAATTCTCTAGCCATTTGTCTAGTTACTTACTGTTTAGTTTACATTGTCCTCAGGTTTGCATCTATTTACAAAAGCCAATCATCGCAGCCCTGAAAAGTTTTGGTTGTAGCAGTTGGATTCTCCTCAGGACTGTTCCTTATCTCTGCAGCACACGACACAGAGCAGCACTTTCTTCCTCTGCTGGTTAAACCTGCTGCTGTCACAGAGTGTGTTGCCTCTGGGTTAATGAACTCAGAGAGGATTTCCCTCAAAACGAGCTGGAGTTGAGATACTAGAATTGTGTATCTCAACTCCTAGCCCTTCTCAGTTCAAAAGCCTTCAGTCAAGAGGAAACTGGTTTTAAGCAAGAAAATAGAAATTCAGGGTATTTCCCCTTGTCATAGCAATAACATGAAAATTTCTGCAGGAGAATTAAACTGTCCTTTAAAAATGCGTTGTAATTCACTGCTGCCGATTCAGATTAGAGCTTCCTGAAGTGCACATCACAGCACTGAGCACTGAGGCTCCTGCACCTCTCAGTTCACGTCGTTGTCCAGATTTTGTCCTCATTACACACAGCATTGGGTTGGGGTTTCTGTGCGCTGAGAATTTAACAGGCCATGCGATGTAGAAGGTAAAGGGGTAGTGTGTATCCCAGATAGACTGAGTTAGGAAAATTAAGGTTACCCAGCTCGTTTCCAGAGCCCTGCTGTGGCCTGGCCTGCACAGCATAAACAGTCAGAACTCCCAGCCAATTACAGTGAGCCAGGAAAGCCACACTCTCAGGGCCAGTTCCCGTGAGGCCCGTGTGAGAAGCAGCACACCTGACTGCTGGAGGCCACCACTGTGCGGGACACTGGGAAATGAAGCCGGGCCCACAGTTTGTCAAGTGATCTCTGGCTTCAGCTCAGAATGTGCCTTCCTCCCTGAAAAGTAGATTTGGACATATTTGTGGAACTTTGTTTCTCTGTCAAGTGTTAGACATGGCATTGTGACCTGTGTCTTAAAATAGGATTTGAACTCTGATCCTTCCTAGGCAGTAAAGTCATTCCTATGCCTTTAGAGTGCAGCATCATCTTTGATGGTCTGACCCCGACCCCTGGTGGCAGTGTTGGGATTCAGCAGAGTTTATGGAAAGTAGAATAGATTCCTTGGAATAAAATCGTTTGTTGTATTTAAGAGATTTTCCCCCGAGTAACTGGCCCTTAAATTGACTGATAAGCTGAAGTACTGCTCTTCCATTTGGTTTTAGCGTAGGAAGCCACGTTTGTTTTAGCTACTGAAAATCTTTGAAAAAATTCAGACTTTTTCTCTTAGAAGTTGTTCCTGAGTCCTAGTGCTGTCTTGATTTTCCTGTTCTCATCACATGTTCAATGTAGACATATGAACATCACAAACATCAAACCACTTCTCTGAAATAGATTTTTTTGGAAATAAGCCATTGAAAGGCAGCCGAGAGCTCTGCCGTCTGTCCTTGTCACTAACTACTTTCCAGTACACATTGCCTTTGAAAAAGAAAATGGAGTTGTGTGCGTAGGAGTAGTAAGCTGAGTCTATGTTTCTGAATGGATGGTTTTGTGGCATTATTGCTGGAAAAACTTGGGTCATCTTCTTTGGATAAGAATTAAGCACTTGGTTTCTGTTCACATCAAATGCAAATACCTGTGATGTAAATTAGATATTAAGACTAACTTCTGAGGGTCATTAATTTTCATGTTAATTTATAGCAATATCATAATTAAGTCCGACTTTGCACTGATTTCTTTATACTTAAGTTCCAAGTAATTTTCCAGAGGATGATCTGCCACACAGATCTTTTAACTAAGAACTTAGAAAAGCCATACTTACGAGAGACTCCTTGAAGAAGTAAATCAGCTGCTGCCTTCGCTCGTAAAAGGCAGTGTCCAGGGAGCTGGGAACACCAGGGAAGCCTTCCGAAATCAGTTTGGGATAGCCTCTTCCCTGCTCGTCTTCCATGTACGCCTGATCCTTCTCACTGTCATATCTCCAGTATTGGTTTCCTGAGAGCCAACCAAAAGCTGTCAGTGTGGTTTAAGGGCCACTCCCAGTCGGCCCCAGATAGCCCTGCGTGACTCTATTGTGACTAGAAGAAAGCAAGGCTCTCTTAGCAATCTCCCCAGGCCTGGAGTCCTCTTCAGTTTGACTCCAGTAATACTTTCCTTGCCCATCTGCTATAGTCAGAGTGTAGTTGCCCTTCACAGAGAATCCTGTGAACACCATCCTGCTGACCTCAGTCAAAGACAGAACAAATTACTAGTGTCCTCTTCACAGAGAAACCCCACTTTCATCTTTCACAGTCCACAGATGTTTCTTTTCCATGTTGGTGGCACCTCAAGTGCCTAGTTTATTCATCTAGTGACTTTTAGATTATCTTTAGTAGACCAGAGGATACACCTGCCCGTGCCCGCCAGAGCAGACAGAAATCAAGCCAGTGGATTCTCTGCTGAGTGCTGGAAACATCCTGAGTGCATTTATTTCATAAGGGAAATAACGCCTGAAGCATCATTACCTTTAAAAAAGTAGCGCTCGTCTCTTCCCCGTGACCAGACATGGACAAAGGCATCTATGTTTTGTGGGGGGATTCCATGCCAGCCAGTGAGAATTTGGAGAGGGTCCCCGTAGCGGGTCCTGTTGTTGCGGTTTTCATAGAGCCAATACCAGCTGTTGCGGAAGAAATAGGTGTTGAATCTCACTCTCACCTCTCCATATTGGTTCTTCTCTTTGTGAATCCAGTCAAAGGCAGTATCAAATGACCCCTCACATGAACCTGGAGAAAGAAAAAAAATGCCGCCACTCGTCACACAGTGCAAAGGCCAGCACTTGTAAAATCCAGCCACTCAGTGCAAAGGCCAGCATTCAGACTTGTCTGGAATGGAGACAGCTGCATAGGTAGGGCTTCCTGTTGGAAGGCCTTAAGGCAGGACACCATAGAACGCTAAGCAGGAAGTAGGCTGCTCACGGGACTCCCGGACCCAGCAGGAACAGTTCTGTGGCCACCTAATTGCAGCTGGCTGATGCCTCTTTTGATTGCCCATCTGATTTTAAGAGGGGAAAGAAGTTTGGTTCTATGCACACCCGACTTGTATTTCCTCTGGGGGAGATAAATGACTTCATAGACCCGTAAGTGTCAAGAACAGGGGTGCATGCATAGAACAGAAATGGGCTGGGCTCTGGGAGAGGCCTGGGAATAGAAAGGTTAGCTTTCCTTGCCTTGGGCGTCCATGCCAAGTCACTAACCATTTGCACTAAATAACCACCTGTGCCTTGGCATAACAATTGAAAGCTCTGGGGTCCAGCAAGGTGAAGCTGTTCATTGTCTAGAATTGCAAGTAAACGTTCACACAGCTCTGTGATGTCAAGGCCTGAGAACCCCACGTGTCTAGAAAACCTTTCTGTTCTCTTTCATCAGCGGTGTGTAAGGTAAGTGGAGGAGAGAAAGCCTACAAGGGACTGAGTCACCAGCAGTGGGCACTGTGCACCATCTCCAGCTGTGGTCTGTTGCGACCACCTTAGCATTGCATGTGGAACCAGAGGACAGCTCTTCAGCTGTGCAACTTGTGCTCTTTGGGGATCAGCCTCCCACTTTAGCCTCCTGAGTGCCCTCGGGGCACTCTGGACAGGACTACCCTAGTTGGGTCTTACCATACAGCCTTTGAATTGCTTTTCTGTCTGACCAGTCCAACTCAAACACAGGATCCTGGGGAATATAGTTTGGTTGCATTATGGACCCCACCCTGTAGGTGTGAGGCAAGCCGAGGACATGGCCAATTTCGTGGACAGCCACCTAGGAGGGGAACACAAACCACAGGTGTGGGGTCGAACCTGAGCCTTACCGTGCTACTGGACCAATCACTAAATTGTAGCGGGCTGGCCTCTGACCCATGCAGAGTTGAGCTTGTTCAGAAGCAAAGCAGGGTGACCACTGGAGAACCATCACCGGACTTTAGCTAAACACCCTAGAAGGGTGAGCACACGCCGAGGAAGAGCACTGGGGTTTGAACTTCTCTCATGCTGTGCCCTTGGCCTTCCCAGCAGAGTCTAGAGCCACTTACTTTGAGAAGGCTGATACCCGTGTCACTGGAGAGAGGGGTGAAGTGCTCATCATCATCGAAGTGTATATCTCCCAGGCGCCAGGCATGTGCAAACTCCTGCCCACTCCCATCAAACACCCGAGGACAGCCCAAGTGTCGGCCTGACGTGGAGAGGGGGTTGGTGGCAGTGAGTGAGAGTGCCCATCACGAATCCCCCCTGATGGTCCACTTTGACAGCACCCCAGCCTCCAGGAGCTGGTGCAGTGAGTGACCAGCTCTGCACGGATTCCTCCATGGAAAGACTGAGCAGCTGTGTCTATGAACAGTGCAGCTGCAAAGACTAGAAATGGCTGGATACCAAGTACTGGGGAGTGGGGGCGGGCGTGGTAAGGGCAAGAGGGAAGGCTACCAGTGCTGATGGAGGGGACAATTGACTGGGTCCCTGTGGTGAGAAGACCACAAGGAGAGGAAGTCTCCATCTCTCACATTCTTACATTTTTATAAACATGTCCTATGTGCTCTCGTGCTAAAGTTAGCCCTGTGGGAGCAGCAAGGTGGCTGGGAGCACCTAGGTCCCAGGTGCAGCTGTGGAAGTCAGGACGTTTGTCCAGTTGCAGCACGGAGGGAGTGGACCTGTGCCTAGCTCTCAGCAGTTAGTAGGCCATACCCACTGTTTCTCTACAAGACTGGTGGGGTGATAAGCTGGAATGTGCTCCAGGCAAGGAAACTCCAACAGCTAAGGCAGTGCCCGCTGGGCCCATCTGCTCTAGTGAAGCAAAGGGACTACCCTTGTCCCCCATGATCACCCTAGACTCTGCAAGGTGTCAGGCCCATAACTAAGACTAGCACCTAAAGAGACCTAAAATCTACCACCCTTCCTTTGGGGATCATCTCAGAAGAAGCCCAGTAGGAGTTGGAACCACAGCACTATGTAGGTACCAAGGAGGTCAAGGAGAAACTGGCCCAGATGGCCTATGCATGAAACTGGGTGTTGGGGCTTGGAAGAGTTGGAGGCTGCCTGAGAGCAGACAGGAAGGGGTTCTAAGCCTGCACCCTTCTTACCTCTCCCAAAACCCAGTTTTATGTCCACAGTGGCCCCAGGAGCAGTGAGGTCCTCCCGGAAGTCCAGCGGTGTTACCTCACTCCACATCCTGAAGGCCAGTCTAAAGATGTATCTCTGCTCATCTACAGAGAGCTGGCTGCTGTAGGCTTCTCCCACCAGCCTCCAGGTCAGGGTCTTCTTGGAGAAGGCCCTGCTGGTCCCAGTGTCTGTGGCGTCCTCATGCTGCCCACCTGCCTTGGGCAGCAGCATTTGAAGAAAGCGCTTTGGTCGGCTCCTGGGTCGTGGACTGTAAGGGATTATGGGGGCTGGTGGGGTTGACAGGGCAGACTGAGGTGGCAGCCGTGTGTCAGGGACACCACAGCGTGGCCTGTTCATAGCTGCCAGTGTGGGCGAGTCCAGCTTCCCACTGGCAGGCAGGCTGTTCGCTCTTTGGAACCTGCGCATGGCTTGGGCTAGGGTGGAACCCACAGGGGCCTCCGCTGACCCTTGAGGGCTGGTTCCCCAGACTGAAGGCACCTCTGACCAGCCGTATCTTGACAGGAATCTCTGTTGGGGAGAAAAGCACTCAAGTCCACTTAAGCTGCCTCCTGCCAGGTTTTTCCTGTGCCCCAAAAGGACTGTTGGGGCCAGAATCGAACAAGCCAGGTAGTGGGGACTGGAAGAAAGGGAGCCATGCCAGAGGTGAGAGGGACCAGTTGCAGGTCACTTTGGGCTGAGTTGAGAGGGAGGCAGTGGGGAGGCCTACCAAGGGAGCTGGAACCCTGTAGTCAGACTAGGCTAGTTCTGAGGGCCTGGCGAGCTTCACATAGGGGAAGGGGAGGCAGGGCCACAATGGGTAGTCCTTTGGTATCCACAGGAAATGCAGTCCAGCACAGCACCCCTGCTCACTGCCCTCCACCTCTGGGGTACCCATCTGCTTGTGCCTGGTGATGGCTAGACTGCAGGAGGCCCGCTCCAGTCCACTCCCTGCACCAGGGATCTTTGCTGGACTTGTCCTTTCTCTGTACATCCAGTCAGGCAGGGGGCCAGCTAAGGAATGCTGTCGGCACAGTCCTCAGTCCCCTACAGCACCACAAGTCTGACATGTATGTCTGCTCTGTGCCTGCACGGGGCGATCAGTCTAGAAACATGCACAAGGTTTCGGGTTAACATCAGATGGAGCTGGAGTGCAGCTACTCGGAGGTTGAGTTCCTTGCCTAGCGTGTGTGAGGCCCCAGATTTCATTCCCAGCTCTGCACAAACAGTACACATCAGGTGAAGCATGGCTCGTTCCTGCGTGAACCATGGCAGCCTGCAGACTCTGCCTCTCCACAGCCCAGCTTTACATGCCATGCTCTGGCCTGTGCTTGAGTGCATGTGTGTGACGTGTGTATTGCGTGTGCAGGCAGGGGATGCTGCTCTGTGGGTCTCCTTACCTGAGCAGCATGGAGGTCAGCAATGGGCTTGGCCCGGCTCAGGGGGGATGGCTCCAGGTCCGAACGGTCCCGGCTGTGGAAGAGCCTTTCAGGCTGGGTGGGCTGGAGGGCAGCCAGCCAGCAGAGCAGCAGTGTCAGACGCAGGACGGAGGCAGCAAGCATGGCCCACTGGGACTCTGGTTCTCCTGCCTTCCTGCGTCCCTGTCACCCCTCCCAAGGAACAGGGCATGGGAACTTTTATAGGGGAGCAAGCATTCCTCACCCAGCCATGAAGTGTGCCTGCTAGGAGGCGGCTCCTCAGGCCCTGGTAAGCAGCCTTTGAAGACCCCAGGGCCACCTTTCTTGCAGATGTGAGAACTCTTTTTCCCTCAGCCTCAGAATTACAAGTGGCAAACTCTTGACTTGCACAGGGCTGAGTTTGCTTAAATGAACTGTGAACGTGCCCAAGTCCACCTGTGCTGCTGTAAGAAACCTAACAACCTGCCTCTCAGGATGGGGCCTGCAGTTTAAAACTCTGATCCTCGATTTGCTCTAGCTCGGGTCTGTTGCTTTCCTCTGGGTGGTCTGGGGCTTGGAGTGTGCTAGTTTGTGACTCCTTTTTACTTTCCTTGCTGGTTCTTTTTCTTTATTAAAAAGAATGTCAAAATAGGCATGGTGGTGCATGGCTTTAATCCCAGCACTTGGGAGGCAGAGGTAGATGGATCTCTATTTATCAATTCAAGACCAGCCTGGTCTACATCATGAGTTCCGGGTCAATTGGGGTTACAGGGAGACCCTGTCTCAAAAAATTAAAAAACATAGTCTAGGGCTGGTGAGTTGGCTCAGCAGGTAAAGGTGCTTGCTGCCAAACCTTTCGACCCCTGGGACTCACACGGAAGGAGAGAATCAACTCCCCTGTGTTGTCTTTTGTGCTCCATGAGCATACACACCTGCACAAAATAAAACGTCTAATAAATGTAGAAAAATGAATTTTAAAACTAGTGAGAAGGAAGAGGAACTCCTGTGGGGGGAGGGGAATCACTGTGGTGAACAGGACTGCAGGTGTGTGTTTGGGCACGCGCATGTATGTGTGCATGCATAGAGAAGTAGATTTACATATGTGTCGCTGTTCAACAGACCACCTTGGGGTTTTTTTTAGGACAAACTAGAATATACTCCAGCCTACCCCACCGCATCCTGCTCCCCTTAACAGAGGAGTCTTGAGTCTTCAAGACAGTGCTCTCTCTGCTAGGCCCACCCAGAGCTGGCAGCTTCCAGAATGTGGACTTACTGGGCCATAGGTAATCACGGGACTGACCAAAGAGATGTGATTAAGCTCCTGCTGGCCTGCATCCTCAGCCCTCCTCACCCCAACTCCCTGCAGTGTCTTCCCTCAGTCCTGGTGATGCAGAGCATCTGGGTAGCAGACTGGGTCCTTCAGAAGCATGGAGCTGGCTACCCTCACATTCGATTGATGCTGTGAAATGAGCACGAGACCAGCCTTTATCGGGTTGAGCCTGAGGTTTGGAGCTGGACAACCTGGACTAAAACAGGCCAGCCGTCAGTCCTAAGGACCCGAGCATTTGCCTCCCTTACTGACACATCCCCAGGGTGGTCTTTCCCCTTCCAGTAGAGGCTATGCAAGGTCAAGGGGCAGGACAGCCTTCTTGCCATCCCACACTTCACCTCCACTCAGAGAAGTGCCCACTCTTGCATGCCTTGGGCAGTGGCTGCATCGTGTCCAGCCTTCCAAGGGCTAAAGTCTCCAGTGGTTCATCTTTAACCTGTTCTCACAGAGGTCTTCTGAAGCTCTCCTTCCCTCATCCTGGCTGACTGTGGCATCCTGTCTGGGCATGCTCAGCACACAGTTCTGGCCTCCCACTGCTACTGTCCCTCTGACCTGAAGTGTCCTGTCAATTCTGCTTGTTGCTGGCCAGCCAGTGCCTCCAACTACTGTGGTCCTTCATGATGCACTGGCTCATCTTACAGCCTCTCACTGCCTGGTCCCATTTATCAGCTTCCTCAAGTTCTTATCTTTTTCTTTGTCCCATGCGGCTCCCACAGACTTCAGGAGGACCTCAGTCCTGGGTGGACCTGACTGCTCATGTGAGCAGTGCCTGCACTTGGTTTGCTGAGCCTTGGAGGGACATGGGGAGGGATCAGCTCACTTGCCCCGTCCTTCCTTTGAATGACTGCAGCCCCCACAGGCTCTGTTCTCTAGCCTCTTCACCTCCCAGTTTCCTCCACAAGTGTTTTCTGTTCCTCTGTTCCATGGATTACACAGATGCCTCTGGCCCTCGTGGTGAGAGGGGCAAAGTATGGGGAGTGCAAGTAAGTGCAAGTTCAGGTTCTCCTGGGATTCCTTCTTGTGTCTGGACAGCCTAAGGGAGTGAAGGGTAGCCCTTGGGTCCCTATGAGTCTACAACTGAGCTTGGACTGTCACATCAAAGGTCATGCAAAGGTCCCCCACCTGTGTCCACGCCCCGCCCCCTCTCTCTCTTGAAGGCCTGTGTGGCCAGTACCTTTGGCACTGGGGATGGAAGACCATGTGTGTGGTGTTTGCAGCAGAGAGGACAGTAAATCTCCATCCCCCAATCTAGCCTCTCCTGGGCAGAGGAGAAACCTGCTCCCCTGCCTGTCGGTGGGGTTTGTCTCTCCAGCAACCTCTAGGGAGCAGTGGTGCCCCCTTTCGCCTTGTCTCTTCCACTTTGTTTTTAAACTCTCCAGCTGGTTCCTCTCCCTCCTCCAGCACCCCTGTACCTGCCTTCTTGACCTCAAGTATCCTACAACAAATACTTCTCACCATCTGACTCCTGTCCTTTTCCAGAGCCCCAAGATGGTCACTTTTGACGATTCTGTCCAGTTCTTTGGCTCTTGTTTTCTTTAGGTGAGGGTGTATCTGTCCCTTTACAACTAGAAGTCTGTCCAGTAGAGGCTTATGCAAGATCAAGGGGCAGGACAGTGTCTGCCATCCCAGATTCTACCTGTGTCAGGGACGTGCTCCTGCTTTAAGGTGGCAGGTGCACAGCTTGTGCCCTTAGGTCGGAGCAGGTATAGGGAAGCTTCCAGCACTGTCAGTGGCTGCGATCCCTGGGCCACTCAGAGATCCATGGCAGCAGCCTCCATCCTTGAAAATAATGGCAAGAAAAGTTAAGAAGGGAGGGACTGGGAAACTGTTAACTGAGCTTATAGAGTTGGAAAAAATTATTCCTGTGGTATAATATGAAAGGAAACAAGGTTTTCCTATGAAAATTCTATGCAAATTTTAATTGTGCATAATCCTAGTGTCTTCTTCCTCACAGGTTTGCCCCCAAAGTACAGAAATGAAACCAACTACCTTTTTTCATGTACGTGCGTGTGCGCGTGTGTGTGTGTGTGTGTGTGTGTGTGTGTGTGTGTGTGCGTGTAGCGGTCAGAGGACAGAGTCACAGGATGGGTTCGCTTCTCCACCTTTTTGCATGTTCCAGGGATTGAACTCAGGTCCCCAGTCTTGCATGGCAAGAACCTTTAACCACTGAGCCAGCCTGCTGGTACAAAAACACTTTTAAGGCCAACTGGTGCTGCTGCCATCCCAGCAGACGGACAGGCTCCTTTCTTGGTGCACACTATTGTTGGTCCTACAGTGTGAGTCTGTTGTGGCACGATTCCTCTCTTAGTGGGATGATATTATAATCTGCCAGGAGGGGACACTAAACCAACCAGCCGTGAGACATCCCTGTTGTGGCCTTGGGTGCAGTGGTTTCAGGAGGGCACCTGAGGCTGGTTGTGAAGGTGCAGTCAGCATCCTTGGCACTGACTGCTGGAACTTGTTCTCCAAGAGCAGGAAACCCCCAGAGTAAGTAGTGTTCCTGGAGAATGGAAGAATTTTAAATTTTTCTTAAACTTTATTTTATGTGTATGAGTGTTTTGCCTCCATGTAAGTGCACCACAGGCATGTAATGTCCATGGAGGCCAGAAGAGGATCTCAGATCCCTTGAAACTAGAGCTACAGCTGGTTGTTTGCCCCCATGTGAGTACTGGAGACTGAACCCAGGTCCTCTGCAAGAACAGCCAGTGCTCTAACTGCTGAGTCAGCTCTCCAGCCCCAAGAATGGAAGGATTTTAAATTTAACAATCTACATGTGACTTTCAAATCAGAAATTCTAGGCAGAAAACCAGGAGTCATCACAGTACCATCTCTGTCCATGTGTGTGAATCTGTTTTCATTGATAATGAAATATTGGAAGCAAGCGAACCTTATCAAGGAAAGGGTTAGCAGCTTCCAGTGTGGAGGCTGAAAGTCCAAGTAGCCCAGGTGCTCTTGTAAGCTGTCCCACTCCCATCAGCTGTTAACCCATGGCCAAGAGCAGTGGTGAGTGTTCAGGAGTGTGAGCTGTATCTTGAAGTAGGAAGCCAGAGAGGCCAGGGTCTCTCTAAAGGGTCTCCTAAAGGCAGACCCCAATGACCTAAGGCTTCTTGTTCGGTCCTATCTCTTTAAGATGTATTTTCTTACCTGCTGAATGATGTCTATGTGTCTGTCTGTGTACACACGGGTACAGGAGTATCCAGGAGGCCAGAAGAGGATATCGAATCCCCTGGAGCTGGTTACTGGCAGTTGTGAGCTGCCTGATATGGGTGCTAGGGACCAATGAACGCAGGGTCTCAGGAAGAGAAATTCATGCTCTTAACCGCTGAGCCATTTCTCCAGCTCTAGGCCCCATCTTTTTAATGAAAGATTAAAATAAATTTATTGTGTGTGTGTGTGTGTGTGTGTCTGTGTCTGTGCCTGTGTGTCTGTATAGGTCAGAGAACAACGGAGTCAGTTCTCTCCTTCCACCATATGGATTCCAGGGAATGAACTCAGGTCATCAGGTTTGGCTGGTGGCAAGGCCTTTACCCACTGAGACACTGAGCCAACCCTTTAGCCTTCCATCCTGCCTCTTAAAGGTTCCATCAGCTCCCATAGCATCATAGTGGGGACCAAGTTCTTAACATGTGAACCTCTGAGAGACATTCCAGCCATCAGTAAACCATAGCATACCATTATTGGAGAACTGATTATCCTGATTATCACCTGATTCTTCCTCCTCTCCTGATGGTGATGACAGGAGGTAGCTTATCTCTTTCAGGGTTGTTCTAAGGAACAGATCACACTTGTAAGGCCCACTGCACCATGAAGGAGCACGGGCTGTGTTTAAAATGCTTTCCAACCACAATAAAAATGGTGTGGGGTTTAATTCCAGCACTCAAGAGGCAGAGGCGGGTGGATCTCTGTGCGATCAAGGCCATCTGGGACTACAGGGAAACCCTGTCTCAAAAACAAAAAAAGATGAATAGATGACTTCCAACCTGACCTCCCAGCTCTGATGCTGCACATTCGTCTTTCCTGTCAGCCTACGGACTGGTGAAAGACTAAGACAGCCAGTTGTGGTGGCGTACACCTTCAGTCCCAGCACTTGGGAGGCAGAGGCAGGTGGATCTCTGTGAGTTCAAGGCCAGCCTGGTCTACGTAACGCGTTCCAGGCCAGCTGGGGCTACAGGGCTACATCTCAAAAAGACCAAAAAAAAAAAAACCCCTAAAAACTAATGGTTTTCTTAACCCAGCTCAAAGTTCAAATACAGTTTGGAGACAGATTTTTCAGAGCCTTTCTGCAAGTATATTAGGGTTTTCTAGAGGAACAGACCCTACAGCTTACAATGAAATAGTAACAGCTGAATCCCACTTGAGAGATGGAGAACCCGGGAGCTGCTCCATGCTTCAGGCTGGTGCCTTAGAAGTCCCAATCTGGCACCCAAACCCGAAACCCTGGAGGGTTCCTGGAGAGCCACTGGTCCTTAGTCTAACGATGGAAGCCTGCAAACACTGGTTCTAACAGCTAAATCAGCAGCAGCAGCAGCAGTGTCAAGAGGGAAGACCACAGAAGCAAATGGCAGATAATCTTCCTCCTGCCCCGTCCCTTTTTAGGGGGGCTGCTACCAGAAGGTGCCACCTACATTTGAGGTGGGTCCTCCCACGTGGATTAAGGCAGTCAGGGAAGGTCCTCAGCTGAGGCTCTCTGCTCAGGTGATTCTAATTTGTGGCCAGTTGACATTGAAACCATTCATCACAGCAGAGCACTACAATTGTTAGTACACACAAACACAGAGTCCTCAGATATATTTTGTTTCTAAATGAAAGAAAATTTCTGCATTTGAATTATAATTATCCATAGCAAACAAGGTGGGATTGCAGATCCTGTTTCTTTCTTTCTTGTTTGTTTGTTGTTCGAGACAGGGTCTTCCTAAGCAGTTCTGGCCGGCTTAAACTCCCAACTGTCCAGTCTCCACCTTCCAAGTGCTGGGATTACGACTGTGTCGCAACCTTGGATCACAGTCCTTTTTTTGTAGAATGAATAATCTAGTTCACACACAGCAATTTATCATTTTTATAATGGGCGTCAGAGGTGGCCCTGTCTGTTCCCCTGAACACAGCTCTGCACAGAGAAACACCTGGTGAACAATAATGGGCTGCGAGCACAAGTCACCATGTGGTTGATGTCCTTCTTGCTGGGCACAGGAAGCTCTCCCAAGGTCCAGGAGCCAGGGTGCACCTGGCCTAGGTTCCAAGCTGAACTCTGGAACACATTGACAGGCTCCCAGGCTCCAATCTCCATCTAGGAGATGACTGGCTCCATCTCCAATCTAGGTGCTTCTGCTCCAGTGACAGGTAGGAGTTGACAGTGGCAGCTTCTCCAGAGCCCTTTCTGGTTCTGGGCTCCATTCCAGAGGCAGGAGTGAGCTGCCCCACAGGAAAGGGGCTGGGCCCAGTGCAGTTCAGCAGCAGCTGTTTGGCTGCAGCACCTTCCTGATGCCGGCGGCCAGGGCTTGTGGTGTGGGGCTGTCTGCTGTGCAGCTCACAGGCAGGCCCTTGGCAGCTAAAGCACGGGTTGTGGTGGGGCCGATGGCTATAAACTGCCAAAAGGGAAGGGACAAGCAGTCCTTACTACTATAGCAAGGGCTGTGTGCAGATGTCAGCCTGCCCTCTTTCTGCTAGATCACTCTCCTGTGATGTTTCCATATAAACAACAGTGCCATCTAACTTAAAACGAACCTCACAGCATGCAAAACACTGGTCAGGACCCATCACCTCATGCCACTTTCCACAGGACTGGGTGTGGGCAGACAGGAGGCTCAGGAAAGACACCTGCCCTATTCAGGGGCTTCAGCTGCAGACAGCTGTACTTGAGTTTCAGGGGTACTGGGTAGGAGCAGGTGGAGTAGGGAGTGCCAGGGTAGATCTGGACCCCCAGGGAACACACAGTCATATAAGTTGGAGGGCCAGGATTCAAATCCCAGCAGCACAGGACAGGCCTTGGTGCCCCCTCCCTCTGGTCTCCACCTTGTCTCTAACCAGGCTGCCACTGGGCTGCTGGGGATTAATTAGATGAGGTGGTCAGGGTGAAACAGCTAGAGCTGGGCTCAGTGACAGACGAATGACCTCGAAGTGCAGATGGCCATTCACAGGCTTTGTGGTTGCTGTGAGAAGGCTGGAGAGAAGCAGGAAACGCAGTGGCTTCCATTCACTTGTCATGACATGACCCCATACTGCTCTGGCATGGCTCCTTCGGGCACTTGTACGTAAGTCAGCCATAAGCAGCAAGCTCAGTTCAGAAGTCACCCCTTAACCTTTTGTGATTACTTAAGACTCGTAACAAATACAGTTCCTGAAAGGTGTGAATGTAAGCGGGAGAAATTTTAAACAGGCGACTATTTGAAAAGGTTTATCAGGAAATAAAGGAGGCAAAGGATGCCAACACCTGCACCAAACCCTGCAGGAAGGGCCTCACTTGGGTTCTCATCTAACCAAGGTTTACAATTCCATGCAGGGAAGGCCAGACATACAGCTATATGGGACAAAAGGAGATGATCATCCCCAAATTAGAGTGAGATGGGTCCAGCAACTCTCATTGAGCACTAGAAAGTGGCAGGGCCTCCAACTCCACGGTCAGTTCACAGGCATCTGCTGGGCCCAGAGCTCTGACTTGACATGTAAACTGTGGGACAACCAGTAAAGAGGAAAAGACTAAGGCCCACAGAATTCCATACCTTAATTTGATCGAAGCTGTCACCAGATAACTCCTGAATATACTCAAGGCTATATTTAAGGCCAGAAGGACTGAAAAACGTGATGCTGGCTGGGACACCCTGTAGCAAAGGAAAGAGAGCTACCTTTAGCAGGAGACGGCACTCCCCAGCTCAACACCCCACTCCTGTCCAGCAGTGGCCCCACCAAGGCACTATGACTGGAGAGGCTGGCCCTGCCTCTTGGTTGCTCTGTCAGTCCCCCAGTCTGTATTTGCCTGGACAGAGGACATGGGCACAGTGGGGCCAGGTCTCAGCAACTGAGTCAATGCCTATAGCTCCTGGGGTTAAACAGCACTGATGAAATCATCAGCACTTGTGTTGGCTTCTGTCAGCTTCCACCTCCAGGGGAGGAGCAAACAGCTCCTGGGCTCCCCACACGCTTTCTGTGCATTTATGCTGCTTCATTTAACAGGCCCCTCAGAACAGGCAAGTCATGTGGAAGCTAGTTCTAGGAGGGCAATGGGATGTGGCATCTGAACAGAAATGGTGAGGATGCCAGGCGTGGTGCCACACGCCTTTAATCCCAGCACTCTGAGGTGGAGGCAGGTGGATCTCTGTGAGATCACCTGCCTGATCTACATAGAGAGGTGTCCCAGGCACCTAACCCTAACCCTAACCCTTAACCCTAACCCTAACCCCTTGTCTCAGACCAAAAAAAACCCCAAATGGTGAGGATATCCACCAACTCGAGGAGAGTATGCCACTCCTGCCTGAGGGAGGCCTCCCAAAGCCAGTTCAGACTCCACAGCAGGTTCTTCCCAGTGTGGGCTCAGCTTCTGCACCCACACAATGGAGCACAATGCCAACATCAAGGCCACTGGGTACCTCAGGCCTGTGTATATGATAGATGTCATAAAACAGCTTTGCATGAATTATTTAATTTTTATAAAACTTTACTAGATGGGTCTATTCCTATTTCACAGATACATAAATGGAGTCCCAGAACAGCCACTTGCTCAGAATCACATGGCTGGGGACAGTGGAACCCCATGGAGAGTCAGTAGTTGCAATTTCATGCCCCCAACCCATGCTCATGCCCTACGGCCTGCCCCGCCATGGCTTGCTCTCCCTGGAAACCCCATGTACCTGCTTGGAATAGTAGCTCTCCAGGTCCGCTTGGATTCTAGGATGTGGAATTGTCTGGTAGACATTCATGCTTTCCATGGGGATCCCTGGGTATAATCAAAACCAGACACAGGCTTCACTTCACAGGAATAGGAAGAACGAAGCCTCTGCTACCCCAGTACGGGGACTGTCAGCATAGCACAACCCTCCTGGAACCAGCTGCTCAGAATGGAGAGCTGAGTAGGGGTAAGAGACCCCAGCCAGCCCTCTGCAACTCACAGAGCATATGGAGCAGCTCTTTAGTGGGGAGGCCGAGTTAGCAAAGAAAGACCTGGAAACCAGAGTCTTCACCAGCACCCAGAGATGCCTTCTGTTCTTAAGTTTGTGTGAGTTTGTCCACACAGGTCTGACCCTGGCCATCCCAGGAATTCCACAGACATGACATCAGGAAGGGAGGTCCAGAGCAGCTCTCAAGAGAGGGTGATCAGCAGGAGACCCAACTGCATCCCAGCTCTGCCATCCCAGCTCTGCCAGTACGGGACCACGTGCAGTTTCTGGGTCTCAAGACGCCCATCTTCAGGGATGCGGTTAACACATTCTAGTCACCTTTGTCCTTGAGCTTACTGGGTAGGACATCTCCTTTGATGGCTCCACAGGGAAACAGGAGAGGCAATGCTGAAGACTCCCCTGGGAACATATAAGCAGACCTTGTAAAAACTGAAAGGGTGATGCTGTGTACAGGGCAGGGGATGGCAGCCCAGGGTGACAAAACCTCTGGGGTTCCAGGCTTAGCTTTGCTCCCAGATCTCAGTTCCAGCACCTGTCAGTGGAAAAGCAACTACTACCCTGTATTGACTTGGATGGTGGGTGGTTACTCAAGAACCTAAGAGGAGCGGGAACAAGTCACCACTGTTGCACTTGCTGCGTGAACTCCCTCTGGTCAGGACGGGGCTCCCTGACTTCTGGTCACTATCTGGGCTATAGACTCGGCATGTAGCTAAGTAAGGAAAGTTAAGGGTAGGTCTTGGCATTGGCACTGGGCAGAGATTTTCTACCTCTGGGCCCTAGATGAGCCAGGGTTCAACTCAGGAGGCAGCAGGGGACAGTCTGGACAGCTCCCTACCCACTGCTCTCCCAGCCACTCTAGCAGCCACCTACCCACATGTGCAAAGGGCGGAAGACCCAAGGCTGCTCCTGTGACCTGGCTCTCACTGTGCCCCAGCACCCGGGTCCACCTGTGGAAACCTGACGGTATATTCATCTTTGAGCACTTTGGGCAGCTGTGATGGCAGCATACGACTGCACAGCAATTTGCAACAATACTATTCAACCAAACTAGTGGGTTGTCAGATGCCAGAACCTTCCTCGATGGCGAAAACAAAGCATTTTACTACAACTGATCCTTCCCTATCTGTCAGATGTAAGAGGTTTTAATGGGTGTTGGTCATGCACAAGCATTATGTCTTTCCGACATCGTGAGGATTCCTTTGAATACATCTTTGGTGACTGAAATCAGAGGAAGGAATGAAGCAAACTCTCCAGCCAGCAGTGGCTTCCTACGCAGTAGCCAGTGACAGGAACAGCTGCGGGCGACTTCCTGTGAAGTACATGTGAAAGACACTGCTGGCGGACGGCCCTTCATTTAAACTGCTTGGTAAGTGTTAGTATCAACATCAAAGAACACAGTGACTGGGGACCGTTAAAGATGACAGGTGCCTGCTGAGTTCTGTTTCCCACTGACAACTTTTACAGACCCAAGTCATGTTCAGGTGCTGTCTTCTCAACCCTAGCCCAGGGGCCTCGCCTGTGTCTATCTGTCCATGTTTCATTGGGGGCTACGTGAGTGCAGGAGGCTAGAGGCCAGAGAACTTATGGGAAGCTACCAGCAAAACAGAAGCCCAGTTTTCCAGCAAGCCTAAACCCGAAGGCATGCAAAGGGCTTTGTCAAGATTCAAGGGTCTCCCTTTCCTGCATGTCTTCACAGACTGATTCCTGGCTGAGAGGGAAGTTTAGGCCCGAGTCCTATCAGTCATTCCCAAGGCCACAGTGGTACAAGGCTCCTGAAGGCAGGGACTTATCTGGCCGCTTGGGACTAGCACAGTGCAGTCAGCTCAGTTGCCTTCCCTGAAAGGGACTGTCCTGAGGACAAGAGAGAGAAAACACTGCCTCTGAGGGCAGATCCAATGACTTGTATCTCCTGAGAGCTAATTCTGCAAGAAGTCAAAGCAGCTTGGCACTGTCGCACACACGTACAGTCCCAGTACTCAGGAGACATGGCAGGAGAGTCGCTTCAGGTTTGAAGCCAGCCTGGTCAGCCTGAGCTACTGAGTGAGACCTAGTCTCAAAACTAAACTGCACACAATGACAACCCATTCCTTTTTGAGAAAAGCTTAATTTCTGTGAATGTATCCTCAACTCAGGCCAATGCATGGCAAAGCTGGCTGATTTTCAATCTAGTTAGGTCAACTCAGTGGGTGGAGCTGACAGTGCTGTGCTCTCCACTCCCCCAGCAGAGGGAGCCTGGCACTGGGCTGCAAGAGAGCTGAGCTGACAGCACCCAAGGTGCTAGGGAAGTGTCAGGCAGCCAAGGAGGGGCCTGAAGGGGCGGGGCCTGAGAGGAGTGCCACAGGACAGGCAAAGATCTGTGAACAGCCCCTAGACTAGGTGAGACTAGGGCCATGCAGTCAACAGGCCCTCAACTGCAGCACATGAGGCCAATAGGAGCCCAAAAGAGCCCAGCAAGTCCCCAGGCTGCAGGAACTCTGCAAACTCATGCCTTTCCAACCAGGGCAGTGCAGTCACCTTTGCCTCTGTTTACCTATTTTTAAAAGTTGTAGCTGTTGGGGCTGGGGAGATGGCTCAGCAGTTAAGAGCACTGGCTGCTCTTTAAGGAGGACCTGGGTTCAATTCCCAGCACCCACGTGGTGGCTAACAACTGTCTAACTCCAGCTCCAGGGGATCCGATGGCCTCTTCTGACCTCCGTGGGCACTGCACGTCACAAGTGCACTTATTATATGCAAGCAATACACTCAAACACATAAAATGAAAATAACAAAATATTTTTTTAAAAGCTGTAGCTGTCTTCTACTTTATACATTTAACTAGTTATTCCTTTCCCATTAGAAGAGAGCTCCTGGGAGAGGAGGACAAGTGTAATGAGCCATCAGGTTAAATGGGTTAACAACTTTAAGTTCCACAATAATGCCTGTCTCACCGTAAACAGCAGTTAAGTAAACTAAGTGAGCAGCAACTAGGATTGGCCTGGTCACTACACACTGGTGGCAGTTTTAGCTTTTAAAATTGTGCTGCAAAGTAGACACTGAAAGAATCTCAAAGCTTTGTAAAACCGGGGTGAAGAGCCTCATTGGCGGTTAACTTGGGCTTCACTTGTATATTCCAATTGCAAATGGAAGATCAGGGCCACAGAAGGGCAGGTGATGAAGTAGAAGCAGCAGCTCCACAAAGAGTGCAGCCCAGGGCAGGTGAACGTGCCTGTCCCCAAACCTGACCATCTGAGTCTGATCCCCAGCACCGACAGGGTAGAAGCAGACAACCTACTCCTGAAAACACATACACAAACGATAAATAAACAACCTTAAAAAATTAAAAAGGGGCTGCAGAGCTGGCGCAGCCGTTAAAGGCTTAGGCTCACAACCAAAAATTAAAAAGGATGCCAGGCGTGGTGGTTCACGCCTTTAATTCTAGCACTAAGGAGGCAGAGGCAGGCAGAGCTCTGTGAGATCGAGCCAGCCTGATCTACATAGTGAGTTCCAGGCAGGCTGGGGCTAAGGACTATGTCAAAACAAAAAAGAAACAAAACGAAATAAAAAAGAATGCAGCCCAGTACCCTCAGAACCAGGGCAGAGCATGTTACTCTCTACCCTGCTGGTCTAAGCCAGTTAGCTGAAACACAGTGAGAGCTCCCAGGGGGGCACTGATCCCTCTGCCTTGTGCTTACAAAGCAAGAAAACCAGCCTGATGACTCTGAGCCTTAGAATGAGGAACAGTTCAGTCCCTTCTGTTTTCTCCAGGACAGATGCATCAAATGCAAGTACAGCTCGAGTTCTGACCTAGAAACGGGTGGAAGACAATTGTCCGTCTACAGAACTAGCAGTTAATCCTAATTCAGGCTGGTACTTGATCCCAGGAGGAACACCGACATCAACCTTCATTTCAGCTTACAGGTCACAGTCCACTGAGGGAAGTTGGGCAGCAACTCAAGCAAGAATGGAAGCAGAAAGCACACTCAGGCTCCAGCTTAGCTAGCTTTCCTAACCCAGCCCAGGACCACCTGCCCAGGGCAGGGTGCCACCCAAGAATGGGCCCTCCTACATCATTAGTTATCCAGACATGTCCCACAGACATGTCCGCAGGCCAATCTGATCTGGGCAACCCTTCAGTTAAGACTCCCTTCCCAGGCACCTCTAGGCTGTGTCCAGTTGATAGTTAAAGCCACCCAGGGCAGATCCATCTTTCAGTACTGGGGAAAAGGGGAGAATTAACAATCTGGAAAGGGCCTCTGCTGTTCCCTGCCTGCCTGCTGAAGTCTCCTGCAGGCTTCATGACCCAAGGCCTACCTACACTCTGGGGAGCCCCAGTTCACAGTGCTTGCAAGATTCAGGGCTTTCCTAGGATAAGCTCCCAGGAGAACACAAAAAGACAGGCACTAAAGAACTTTCTAGCAACGGTAGTAACTTATGCAGGAGGACTTTATGAGACTTCAGTGTACAAGTCCACCTTGAGAAGCCTTATTTTTTAAACAAATACTTTGTTTTACCTAAAGCAGAACCATTTACCACTGTCTAAAAAAGAAGCCATAAAAGGACTCACTGCAGGTCTCTCCCACCCACTCTGACTGCCGCTACAGAGAAGAGGCCTGCTTCCAACAAAGTGCAGCAGCACGCTGCCCTGCCCTCCTCCCAGCTCAGCAGACTCCCATGCACTTCAGCAGTGGTGTCAGCACATTATAGACCTGGTCAGAGCCAAGCCTCAGGGATGGACTGTCCCTAGGGCTCTGCTGTTCCAACCTCCGAGTTTGCTAGTTCGGATGGAGACCTTCCTGAAAGCTGAAAATATCAGGTCCAGTCTGACCTTGAGAGCAAAGTCTGGATTTCCTATTCTGTGACACACAGCAAGAGAATTCTACTTCAATCCCATATGGCTATGACAGCTGCAAGGACCTGTGCTTCCATCTGGATCAGACACACGGGAAGAGGGTGGGAGATGCAAGGAGGAGGGCACATATCCAGTCCTTCCCACCTTCACTTCAAAACCTCTGTATTCTTCAGAAGCCTACAATCCCATAATAAGCTTAAAGCAAATCCCCATTCAGAGCCAAACAACCCCAGAGCCAGTGTCATTCTAAACCCCTGTCCATATGCTGCCCAAGGATGACCTGACAGGCAATCAGTTCTTTGCCTGGGAACATGTTTTGTGGGGAGGGAATTCAGAGAAGGACCCAGTCCCTCCTGGTGGTGAAGTCATTTGGGGCGGGCTGCTGCTACTCACTGGAGCAGATATATTCCGCAAGCTTCTCTGCATTTCCGCTGTGCTCTCCTTCTGCGTGCAGCCCAAGTTTACTCACTGGAAAATAACAAAAAATTAATTTCTTCCAACATTTATTAAAGTCTTTTTGAGATAGGGTGTCCCTGTAGCCTCAGCTGGCCTGGAACTCACTATGTAGACCAGGCTGATCTCACAGAGTTCTGCCTGCCTCAAGTGCTCAGACTAAAGGTATGTGCCACCATGCCAGGCTCCTGCATTATTTTTAAAAGTGCAAATATACAGGCATTGTTTTCCAAAACACAGAAGTCTCCTCTGGAAGCTAGGATATGAAGATAGACAACTTCAGAGGTGAGGGGTAACCTGGGCCGCACCTCCCCTAGATGGGGCTTTGCCTTTACTAACTTCTCTGAAGCCCACTTGACTATCTACAAGACTGAAAAGAGCAGCCTGTGGGACCGACTCATGCTTCTGTGAGATAATGAGGCCAACTGCTGGCATCGGCTTATCACTCGGACATGGTGGCATGGGGGGGGGTCTACAAGTTCTGCAAGCTACTCTTTAGAGAGCTCTCACTTCAATGGAAGATGAGGTCAGCTGCCATCTAGAAAGGGGTAATGGGCTGACATGGCCATACTGGAGTGGAGGAGCAGGAGGACAGGCTTCACAGGGACCTGCCAGCAAGATGTCCCAGCCCAGCTTGTAAGGTTTCTAGTCTTGAAGAGAGCAAGAAGCAGACAGACAAATGCTCCTTGCCCTCCCTAGACTGTGGACATGTGGCCAGTCTCTAGAGGATGCTGTTGAAGGCACGGCCCACTCAGCACTGCTATCTGCACAGAGCAACAGATAGCCTCCCAGAGAGAAGACATGCTGTGGGCATTCTGATAGGAGGCACACAACAAGCTCCTCCGTCACTAATGACAGCTTTAATGTGAGCACCATCAGCTTGTAATTCATGAATTAAAAATGTACTAAACCAGGGCTGGAGAGATGGCTCAGTGGTTAAGAACACTGGTGTTCTTGCAGAAGACCTGGGTTCGAATCCCAGCACCCACATGGCAGCTAACAACGTTCCGTAACTCCAGTTCTAGGGGATCTGACAGTCTCTTCTGTCTTCTGCCAGGCATTGCACGACATGGGTGCACTTACCTACATGCAGGCAAAACACACATACACATAAAATAAAAAGTTTTTTAAATGTAGTAAACCAGAGAAAAAAGTCTCATGCAGGTGTAAACTATGCTCAGGACCACAGCAGCCTCGCCACACTGCCAACCCAGGCTGGACCTCCCTCCGCCGCTCGCAGGAAGGCTGAGAGCTCCAGAGAACCCTAAAGTTCCTGGGAACCGAACTGGGGTCTGAGAACTTGCTGGGAGGCCGGCCCTGGATATAGCCGGCCCCCTAAGTTGCCATTTCATATTCCTCTGTTTCAGCTACTCATCAGTTGTGGCCTCAGAATACGAGATGGAAAATTCCAGAAATAAGCAATTCGCAAGTTTCATAGTGTACATGTTCTAAGCAATGTGATCAAACCTCATCTTCCTCCATCCTGAGGACGTGGACCTTCCCTTTGTCCAGCATACACGCCATGCTGTGCAGGCTACTGGGCCCTCAGTATATTAGTGGCTGTCTTTGCTATGAGACTGGCTGCGGGGCCCTGCAGTGCCTGTGCTCAGCTAACGCTTACGTAACTACAGCCCAGAGCACAAGTGCAGTGATGTTCGCACAGGTAGCTCAGGTGTTTCAGCTTGTGTGGAAGTCTAAATGTGGATGACTGAAATCCAAGTAGGAAAACTGACTATATAATGTTACATAGGACAGCTGAGTTGTTGGCACCCAAGTCAGAGATTGCCTGTACTGTTTTCTCTCCTCTCATTGTCCAGGAGAAACACCATGCATCATGAAAGAGAAGCAAATTCTTTGTGGGGAGGGAGATGTGGAGAACAGAGGTGGCTCCCCTTGACAGCCAAGTACCAGGTCCGCTCTGGAGCTGCCTATTGAGCTCGTGGGGAAGTCCCTGACACAGAGCCAGCGGCCTCCAGCCTTTCCTCCACCTCGAATGGCTTTCTGGAAAATGTATTTTTAATTCTTGAGCTCTTTTACCCACACTACACATTCCCACAGTATTGTTAAAGTCACCTAGCAAACTGAGCTCCTGTGAGGCACAGTGATAGGTTCATGTATTCACAGTGCCCAGCATTGTTCTAAGTACTTAGATGCTAGAATACTGACTCTTAATTCACTGTTCATCTTTTATACTTGAAATATGTATGAATTTAAGACTACTTGAAAAAAATATAGGAGATAGTAAGAAATGTGGAAAACTAAAATACCACTCCCTAGAGAATTGGGCTTTTAAATACATCATGACAACACATAAAGCTCACCATTTTAGCCATTTCTTCAGCATATAATTCAGTGCTATTAAGCACCTTTACAATGGGATTCATGACCAAGAAGTTGCAAACATTTAGTTTTTTTAGTTTTTTTTTTTTGGTCTTTTTGAGACAAGGTCTCCCTGTAACCCCAGCTGGCCTGGAATTTGCTATGTAGACCAGGCTGATCTTGAACTCACAGAGATCTGCCTGCCTCTGCCTCCCAATGCTGGGATTACAGATGCTCCACCATGCCTGGCTTAATATCTTAATTTTTTTAAAGGTAAATAATTTAATTTCCTGTCCAACATTTAAATAAAACTTTTGAAAATATTAAGGGCTTGCCAGGTGTGGTGGCACACACCTTTAATCCCAGCACTCGGGAGGCAGAGGCAGGCAGATCTCTGTGAGTTCATGGCCAGCCTGGTCTACATAGTGAGTTCCAGGACAGCTGGGGCTACAGGGAGACCCTGACTCAAAAAGTCCAAAAAAAAAAAGAAAAAAATTAAGGGCTGCAGAGATGGCTCAGTAGTTAAGAGCACCAGATGATCTTGCAGAGGATCTGGGTTTGGGTCCCAACAACTGTCTATAACTCCAGTTCCAGGGGATCTGACGCCTTCTTCTGACCGCCTTGGATGTTGCACAACACAGGTGCACTTACATACATGCAGGCAGCACACTCATACACATAAAAATAATAAAACTTTTTTTTTGTTTTGTTTTTGTCTTTTTGAGACAGGGTCTCCCTGTAGCCCCAGCTGTCCTGAAACTCACTATGTAGACCAGGCTGGCCTTGAACTCACAGAGATCTGCCTGTCTTTGCCTCCTGAGTGTTGGGATTAAAGGCATACGCCACCATGCCTGGCCAAGTAAAACATTTTTGAAAAAAGAAATATAGTGATCAAATATTTCTTTTTTAAGAAATTTATTTTTATTTTATGTGTATGAGTGTATTGCCTGCATGTATGTGAGTGCACCCATGTCGTACAAAGCCTCAGAGGTCAGAAGAGGGCTTTGGATTCCCCTGGAACTGGAGTTAAGGATAGTTCATAGCTGCCATGTGGGTGCTGGGAACCAAACCCGGGTCCTCTGCAAGAGCAGTCAGTGCTCTTAACTGCTGAGCCATCTCTCCAGCCCCGATCAACTATTTCTTAAAAGATGTGAGCTGATTTTCAATGCCATGCAGCAATATTTGAATAAATGTTTTATTGCCCACCCTGATAAATAACATGGTATATTTAGCTAATTATTTTCTGCAAATTTCATAAGTAAACAAATGAGGTTTAAGAATTGAATTAAGGGGGCTGGAGAGATGGCTCAGCAGTTAAGAGAACTGGCTGTCCTTGCAGAAAATCCATGTTGGAATCCCAGCACCCACATGGTGGCTAACAACTGTAACTCTAGTTCCAGGGGATCTGACGCCCTCTTCTGTCCTCCCTGGGCACTGTACAACATGGGTGCACTTATACACGGGCAGGCATAACACTTACACATATAAAATATAAATAAAATTTTTTAAAAAGTTGAATTAAGGAGCTGGCTTGGTAGCACATGCTATAATCTCAGCACTTGGAAGGCTGAGGCAGGAAGGTCACAAGTTTGAGGCCAGCCTGAGCTATATACTGAGATCCTACCTTTAAAAAAACAAAAAAACTCAGTATTTGGTTTCGTTTGAGTTCTAGGATCAAAGGCGTGACACCACACCTGGCCTTTGGTTTTGTTTTGGGGGTGACTCCTTACCTAGAGAAGCAGTAGTATTTCCAACCACATACACTGACTTGGCGTTCCATTTGTCTTTCAGAGACATTTCCCAGACTGTAAAACACATGACATCATGTTTGAGTTGCACATACCAACTGGCCATTTGCCTTGTGCTTGTTCATCCCCAGAGATTCATGAGCAAAGCCAGCTGTTAACGACCAAATGCAAAGAACAGCACCTCAAACTACAAAAGTATAATAATTCCATTTTTAAAGTGTTCAGTTCTGCAGGCAGAATATTTAAGATCACTTTGGGAAACTGCTCAGTGTGATGTCAGGAAGTGACTCATTTCTACAGCTGGTGCTGGCAGCACTGCTTCCTGTTACTATTAATAGAAGACAGACAACTTGAAGAACTTGTTTGTATGGTGACATTAAAAATTTGTAAAGTCAAGTCATTAAAAAAAAACCTACATGTTTGATTAAAGCAATAGACTGATTTGATTTGGGACATAAATTTAATGCAAGTAGTCATGCTGTAATCTCAGATGAGATGAATCACTTACATACTAGGTCAAAGGAGAAGTAATGTTGCCACCATTAACAAACAGTGTAGTGCAAAATACACTTTATGACAGAGATCTTTATAAACTGAAGAACAGGGAGAGATGGATTGCACAAATGTGTCATAAGGCCACTGTTACAAAACATTTTAGAAGACAAACAATACAATTCTCCCTTCCTAAACCTAGCTACCCACCCTACATACCCCTAAGGGAAATTAGTTTTTAAAATATTTTATTTATTATAAGCCGGGCGTGGTAGTGCATGCCTTTAGTCCCAGCACTCGGGAGGCAGAGGCAGGTGGACCTCTGTGAGTTCAAGGCCAGCCTGGTCAACATAGTGAGTTCCAGGCCACCTGGGACTACAAGGAGACCCTGTCTCAATAAATATAATTTTTTTTATTATTTACTATGTGTATGAGTGTATCGCCTGCATGTGTTTAAGTGCATCCATGTCATGCAATGCCTGAGGAGGTGAGAAGAGGGCATCCCTGGAACTGGACTTATGGATGGTTGTTAGCTGCCATGAGGGTGCTGGGAATCAAACCTCGGCCTTCTGCAAGAGAAGCCAGTGCTCTTAACTGCTGAACCATCTCACCAGCCCCCAGGACTGGATTTTAAACAGAAACCCCAAACTGAGTTTCCCATCTTTCCTACCTACAGATATAGGGACAGGTATTTTCTAAGGCTCACAGGAGAACAATGACAGAGAGTTGCTGGATCTGAACCCAGCTGTGCAGCCAGCTCTGCCCCTTAATCCTGTGTGATCCTGGCCAACTCGGTCGCCCCCAGCCTGCTTCTTCACCAAGATAAGCGGGGTAAGTTATACCTCGCCTATCACACACGTGTGAGAATAAAACTTCAAAGTTAGAAAATGTGTGGGCGATGCTTTGTAAACTGTAAGGCATGACAAGATGTTGCAGAATCCACTCTGGATCTTTTGTTTGTTTTTTGGAATCTGAAGCTTTTCAAACCTAGGTCTTGCACACACTAAGGGCAACCTCGCCCGTCACTCTTAGGTTTTCTTCTTTTTCATTAGCTCCACTTTCTAAGCACACACAGAGAAAATGCGAGTCTGGGACAAAGCACTCCCAAGCCCGAGTGGGGGTGGGGTGCCGTGCTTCGCTGCTTGGAGCCTCCTTTCTCTACTTGGAAACAACAGTAGTTCTGAGTCTGAGCTTCTCGTGGTGCTTGCCTCTAAGGGGAGCACCGTCATCACAGGTGCTTGCCTCTAAGGGGAGCACCGTCATCACAGGTGCTTGCCTCTGTGGGGAGCACCGTCATCACAGGTGCTTGCCTCTATGGGGAGCGCCATCATCACCTCAGCAGGAGGCTGTGTTCCTAGGCTTATCTAAAGCAAGCTGGCTTGTACAAGGAGACAACACAACAGCGACACCACCAGCGCCCTCACTCCTTCCCAGGAGTTGCACACTCCGTCCCAGGCGTTGTCCTGCTGCCCTCTTTGGGACTCAGACTGTGCAGCCAGAACCAGAAACCTATGGCTTAAGACCTTCTGGCTATGGTCTTTTGAGTCCCCTCCCCTCCCCTCCCCTTCCCTCTCCCTCTCCCTCTCCTCCCCTCTCTCTCTCAAATCTGAGACAAGTTCTTCCTATAGCCCCAGCTGGCCTGGAACTCACCATGTAGAGCAGGCTAGCCTTGAACTCACAGAGAGATCTGTCTGCCTCTGCCTCCTAAGTGCTGGGATTAAAGGTATGTGCCACCACACCTGGCTTCCACCCTCTCTTTTCTCAGCTCATCTGCCAAGTGAAACTACTGCTGGCATCGGTGTCACAGGACAGACTGAAGATGGCACTAGCACAGAGTGGGCACTTGATACCTTCTAGCTAGCTAGGAATAGGATCATCTCAGGGTATAAGCATCAGACCTGCTCCAGGGCAAGGTCACTGAGGGGCAGAGGACAAGGAGCTGACCAAGGCCAGCATGGCTGCATGGGCCCACAGCACTCTAGAGCCCCACACCGACCATCTCCCAACTGCCTGTAACCATTGGAGGAAGTCCTCCAAGCCTTCAATGACCTGTTCAGTGCGGGCACAGTACTGCGCACAGCTGTGCATTATATTTAGTGCACATTCTGAAGAACAACGGGTAGTCTGTCAGTGTCAGCTAAGTAGCCAGGCAGTCTGGAGCCTGGGTGTGAGGGGATAGGCAGGGTCTTTGCTGTGATGGAGAGGGATAAAGGGAAGAGGGTCCACGAAAGGGTCAAGCAGGGCATGAAACCCTTCCCTATTGCTAAGTTTTCTCATCATCCACTGAGGAAAGTGATATTTATCCTGTTTCCAGAGGAAGAAACTGGCACCACACATAATCGAACATGTAAAACGCTAGCAAGGGCTAGTAAGATGGTCAGCAGATAAAGGCGCTTACTGCCAAGCCTGACAAACTGAGTTTGATCCCTGGACCCACATGGTAGAAAGACAGAACCGACTCCCATGACTTGCACTCTGACCCCCACACAAACGCGATGACATGTGTGCCCAGTCCCCAATAAATAGGTGTGATAAAATACATACATAAATAAATAGCAAAAGAGAGCTCCCCCTCAGCCATGTCTTTCTGGAGGCTTAGGAGGCTCCTGTGGCCCAGCACCTCCAGGTACCCTGTTCTGCTGGGCAGGCAGCCCCTCTGGTATCTAGTCTCAAGAAAGAAACGGGAGTAGACAGAGTCCAGCGGAATCAAGAGCAGCCCGCGCTCACCTTCAGTCTTGCCGTCTCTCTCCAGGCACAGCTTCACTGCCTCCACTGCTCGGGGGCTGGTGAAAATCAGTCCCCCAAATCCTTCAGGCTGAGACAGCTGCACAGCAAAAAGCAGCAGTCATTCCATGCTGTGGCGTAGGCTCAGCATCTCCCAAAGAGCTTGCACCCCAAATTCCAAAAGAAGTAAGCTAACTACTTCTTCCTCTTCAACCCTCCACCCCTCCACACCTGTCCAGTGCTGACTGTAGGCCTGCAGCTAGTCTGGCTTAATGCACAGGGGAGCTCAGTTACTGTCATAGCCCTTCTCTCAAGAAGCTCCTTCTGAGGGACAGGCAACTAGAACCCAATCATGAATGCATGACAGCAGAACGGAGGGCAGCTGACCCAGCCTGGCACTGGGACTGGGGTACAGTGGGGTGTAGACAGACTTGATCTGCACAATACAGCTGGAATACCAAGGACTCAGCTGAAGCCTGGGTTTCAAAGATGGTAATGGTGATAAACTGCTGAACATTTATTCTGAGCCAGCCACCGAGCTGCTGTGGCCATCTGACTTCACTCAAAGTGTGGTACTGAATCTCTGTTTTTTGCAGTGAGGCTACCAAACACGTCTTCTGCATTCTAGGCAAGCATTCAACCACTGAGCTACACCCTTGCCCAGAAACGCCTGTCTGAAACATTTTGGGTACTTTACTGGAACTGAGTCCTGCAGTATCTCGAGGCCTCCCCCAGCAGGAGTGAGGCAGTGGTCCCTGGGTTTCCATTCTGGCCCTGCTTTACTGGCTGGATGCTTGGCTAAGTTGCTAAGCTGAGACCTCACTTTCTAAAATAGGAAAACACTGTCTGGTCCGCTATGCAGAGGCCAGGGGTAGATGAATGACATGAAGGAAAGGGTCCTAACTCACAGAGCCATGCATGTGGGTGCTCTCGAGGCTGATCTCCGGGGCCCTGGGCTTCCTGAAGGAGCATACAGATGCTCAGGGAGAGAAGCCTTTGGGGGAGTTCCTGAGCCAGGTGAGGGTGCGCTGCCTTTGTACTCACATCCAGTGCCAAAATGAGGACTAGTAAACACTCCTATGGCTGGGGTCCTATGGGCACAGACCTGGCATGGGGCTCTCACCTTCTCTGACAAACTGGGAAGAGACAGAAACTCAAATGATAGCACAGGAATCAGTGTGGCCTCCAATCCATGCAGTCCAAGTTCCTGTAAAGGAAGAAGGTCGTTCTGGATGGGCCAGGACTGCTTTGGAAGCAGGGGAAGGGTCACGGCACCACATCAACCATGTCTTGCTATGCTACGCCATCAAGTGCACAGAGTTTTAGCATGCTCCCAACCCCACCCAACTCCAGCCTCCATGACTCCATTAGCAAAGAAAGTCTAGCTTAGGGGACAAGGAAGGTAGCTCAGCCACTTACCTGGATATATGGGTCCTGGCCACTGTCACCCTCCTTGGCGTCTTTCAGCAGGAGGACCTTCATTGTGCCTGGAAATCCTTAAAAAAGGCACTGGGATGGGCAAGAGACCTGATCCTACTAAGACCTGAAGCCTCTTCCCAGGTAACGTTGGTGAAGGACGAAAAGAGGCAGCCAATCGCCTGTGCAGAGCTTTCCTTCCCCACAGTGACTCAGCCTAAATGGGCTTGTTCTTTCTGAAGACCCGCCACTTTATCAGTGGCCAAGGGACAGCATGTCAGCAGCTGATATCCCCTGGAAAGGAGGAGAGTCACTAGTGAAGTTGTGTCCAAGGCCAAGCATTTGTGGCTGAAAGGAGAGAAGTGGGGCGAATTCTGCCAACCAGGAAAGATAGAGAATTAATATTTTAATTTTTTTTTTGGTCTTTTTGAGACAGGGTCTCCCTGTAGCCCCACTTGGCCTGGAACTTGCTATGTAGACCAGGTTGACCTCAAACTCACAGAGATCCATCTGCCTCTGCCTCCCAAGTGCTGGTATTAAAGGCGTGCGCCACCACTCTCAGCTTAATATCTTAATTTTTAGAAAGGTAAATAATTTGAGTAAACAAATATTTCTGTCAACATAAACATACTAAGCAGCTTGTAAGTACTTTAGGAAATAGTTATATTGACTCTTGCACCTCTCAAACAATGTTTATAAATGTTTTCAAATGTCCTATCAACCCACCAAAGAATTTGTCAACGTTTCATATATAAAGACTCACAAAATCCATACCCTTTCTTCTTGTAATTTCATTAAAGGATAAACAAAAGGCAGCAATCAAAAGTGTGCAAAAGGATTTACATAAAAATTCCATCCTGGCCATCTTTATAACCGGAAAGAGCAGGAGACAGTGTAAGCAGCCAACAAGAGGCTGGTTAACTGAATCCTGACACATTTTGAGTCATTAGAATACTGACAGATAGCCTAATTACATGCATTATGTAATCAAACATGTTAAGTAAAAAATGCAGGAATCAGGCCAGGTGAGGTGATGCATGCCTTTAGTCCCAGCACTTGGGAGGCAGAGGCAGGTGGATATCTGAGTTCAAGGTCAGCCTGGGCTACACAGTGAGTTCCAGGCCAGCTGGGACTACAGAGAGACCCTGTCTCAAAAAGACCAAAAAAAAAAAAAAAAAAAAAAAAAAAAAAAGCAGGAATCAGTTACATAAATAGTGTGATTTATGTGCAAAGATGTGAAAGAATACATGTCAGAATACGGACAGCACGTATTTCTTAGTACTTATCATTTACTTACTTTTTTTTTTTTGGTGAGGAACTATTTTTATGTGCAAAAACATTTTGTCTGCATGTAATTGCACCCGTGACATACAATGCCCATGGAGGCCAGAAGACGGTGTTACAGTGGAATTAGCCACTATATCAGTACTGGGAACTGAATCCAGGTCCTCTGCGAGAGTAGCCAGTGCTTTTAACTGATGAGCCATCTCTCCAGCTCTGAGATTTATGTCACAGCCTTTTAATGATCTCATGAATGTCTTTTTAGAGAGAGGTCATCGTTTTTAATGTCTTCTACATATGTATCTCCCATTTATTTTCATTTTTCTGAAATCGTAATTATTATGTATAATTGTATTTTATCATAAATATCTTTACCACAAGAATCACTTTTTTTTTGTTTTTAGAAGAAGCATTTCATTACAGCATTAACATATTAAATAAAAATTTCCAGAGCAAAGATGCATCTCTTTCAGTATTTTCAGTATTAAATTCGGTTCACAGTTGAATTAATACCATTATAAAATTTTGAACTCAGTATAAACCCTCTAAGACATAAAATTGAATGAGGTTTTAACCTTTAAGAAAGATCTCCATTTCATTTGAAGATATACTGTTTCATATAGAAAAACTCATTT